ACCGGAGCGACGACGGTCATCACGAATACGCGGCGGCGGCGGCGGCAGCGCAAAGGAGCGGAGACTGTATATGGCCACGACTTAAGTACAAACACATGCTGGACCGTGCTCGCCGAGTCGGCCGGTGAAATACGACGAGCGGCCAATGCCAGATCAGGATGTAGACATTAGGCACGGTGTCCTCGGAGGGAGGTTAGCATGACCGCGTCCAGGACCGATGTCTCGGGGCCGGCGGCCGTTCAGATGGCCAATCAGACCATAAATCATGTGTCGGGTGCCCGTTTGTGGCACCGCCCGGCCGGCCGGACGCGGTACCGTGCGGTGTACTTCAGGGTTGCGTCATGTCGCCAGTGTTCGACACCGACACCCACGCGGAGCGCCCCATGCGCGGCCCGGCGGCCCCTGGAGACCCTGGGTGACCGCGGGCTCCGGTCAGGGACAGGGGTGGCTCCTGAGTCACCACCGACATGGATAGCTGGGGTCGACCGTATCTGTGTGAGTGCCGGCTGGGGTCTGAAAGAAAGGTGTGCAGAAGTCCGTGCCTTCGAGTGATTGAGCAAGCAAATGCACCAGTTTGATGGTCTGCCCTGTAGTGGCCGATAGTAACCCTTGTTCGCCACCGTGTTGTTCTGATCACAGGTTACGGTGTGTAGTTTATTTGGCTACCAAGTTACCAGTCTGGACCTCCCAATGACTCGTAATTCATGTCGTACATGAACGAGACGCCGGTGATTATTTGAATAGACGCTGCGACCTTGTCGAGACAAGATCTTGTACAGGCATAGCGCCATTAATTAGTCTATGAATGACGCTATACACGGGCCGCTAATTAAGGTTCAGTGAACAATCAGACGCTCCATCGACCGGAGAGACTGGATACGTCGCAAATCATTTGGCACGTTAATCTGTAATCTGCAGTCACTATAGCTAGATGGTCTGAGCTGTTGCTGACTGCGAGTCGCGGCTCCAGTCCCTGTACCGCCCGTTTTGCAGCATCAGTATATAGTACTTTAAACGTATGAAATACATAGTTTTTGCTGCCCTATCTGGCATAATGCTTCCGAGAGAACCTTAGGAAAATGCTGTAAAAAGAAACATTACTTAACACACTGCTTGTCTTAGGCAGTGGTGCTTGCATGCTGTTGATGACGATAATGCACATCATGAACAACACTATCGCCTCAGGGACTCTGTGACCGGCCGTGATTCGGCACTGTGTCTCATTGTCAGACGAGGTGCCGGCTGAATGTCAATGGACGTCCCCGGGCGACCCCGCGACCCAGACAGGAGCCGTGTGTCTCTGCCGACCCCCGACCCCCGCAGACGGCCCTGGGGGCGGCGGGGGGACATAACGGAACCGTGCTCAGTCGGCAACCGATGCACGATTGCAGACGGATAATAAATATAGACGACGGGGTGGGCGGTGGGCGCCGGCGGCAGCCGACTGCCCTCGCCGCTGCCTGGCCGTGTGGGGTGCTGCTGCACCTCCCCCCTCCTCCCCTGACCCGGGGAGTGGGGCGGCATCTGCAGACGGTCTGACGCCACAGAGAGGCAGAGGTCAGCGGCAAGGTGTGGCGCAAAGGGACCGAGACTGCCGCGCTGGTAAAGGCGTTGTGCTACATTTTAGCCATGAAATATATGAAGTTTTTTGCTTTGTTGTCATGGGCGACGGCTATATTAGTCATCAATTATGTATTATAAAACATAATCTCTACAGCTATGATGAATAGACGCCGAAATTGGGTACAAATTACATAAGCATTATACATAGGATAAATACAAAAGTTACTTACCGCCAAGGTCAGCATTAAATATTGCATGCATCAATTCGGTTTAAGCTTCGAGCAAGATTGTCGAAGCAACTCGAACTACTTAGACATGTATTAAGTCAAGCCTTCCTAAAGCATGCATCTTGTCTCTTATATAAGCTATAATAAACCGCCCTAACGTCTCACATACAAATATTTGCAGCCATTTTAGGAAGGTGGATGGATTTATTTGCGAACAGTTTTGAATCATTGTCAGATAGGTATGGCAGAATGATAAATGGCTTGCCTAGCATCTAATGCTTCTTATTATTGGTAAATGACGTCTCAATGTGCATAAATACATATCTATCGGTACATTGGCAATGTATGTCATCTTATCACTAACATCAGGATGTCATCTTATGTAAACGTTTTTAGCAAGCAATACAAGGGTAAAATGCAAGGAGGTAGCGAAATGTTTTCATGCATTGCAGGTCGAAACCGAAGCAAGCCTACAATCATAAGAGAAACATCTCACGATGCATTCATAGATGATTTGTTTAATGTTTTATTAGTGCATAAGCAGCGCCACGAGATGGAATACGTTTTTACGTCACTAGTTTTGTTTACGAATATTTCATAATCCTGCAGTATTCATCCCCAACTAGGAGTGGAAAATGCAATCGCGGCGGCAGTCTAAAAGGATTGCACGGTTAGCTCCGAACTTGGGCAGCCAGATAAATCGAGACGGCCAGGAGCCCGAGGAGCACCAATCGTGGTCTGTTTGTAGTTGCAATGTGCAGTGCAACTATATCTACATCTGACCGTTACTTAGGGAACCCGTAATCATTGCCATGTGGTAGTGAGGAACCGGAGACCGCTGCACGACTGCTCCGACATTAGTTTTCATTCCGACTGCGGATCTGGCCGGTAGCAACGGGCGTCGATTGACTCAGGCCCGACCCAGACCGATCCCGGCCCGCCTGGCTGATAGCCCAGCCCCGTGGGGTGTTCGCATTGAGAGCACTCGCGCCGGCAATTCGCAGAACGCGAGGAGCGCGCAGCTCGGGCTGTTGAAAGTTGGCCCGGGGCCGGCTGCCGTGACTACCCCGGGCATTGGCCCGGTCTGCACCCTGTAGCAACAAACCAGAGGAATTCATCCACATAGCCAGACGCCAGTTTGGATACAGGCGTTTCCAGTGTTGTGAAACACGTGAAGTCTGTAATGACAGTTCGCCCTGGAAAACTTCGACTTCAGTTCAGCTGCATACCGTTGTCTGATTCGCTTTGCAAACCATAAACATGGAAATTATTGGAATCTCGGACATGTAGGTGATCTTTCTGTCTCTTATCGGTAAATTGGGCCTGGTGACTCAGTCCAAGAGACTGAACCCTCGATTCATGAATTCGATAAGTTAGTGCTTATGTGGGTTAGTCGGGGATCTCCACCCATGACAGCGTCTCGGCGGCTATCCAAAGTCGCGTCGTGACCCGAGAACAAATTGATCGGGTGCCGGGCCTTCCTGGCCAATATTTCTCGTCTGTTGAAGCCGACTCTGCAGAACGGCACTTCCTGACACGCCAGGTTTCAATGAAAGTGAGGAATGGTGACCGACCACATTGAAAATGATATTGACCGGTCCCTTGATATCGGTTACAATGGATTTTTGTTTTTACTTTATTGATGTAGATTCAGGATACAAGGCCGTAAAAGTGACGTCGAGTTGTATTCGATTGAGTTTTCTGTTTGAAACAGCATGAAAACCGACAGTGTTATTGACGCTCAATTATACGTACCTAGCTTTTTGAATATTAAATATTTAAAAGAAGTAATGCCAAAGTATTTTTTTCTTAGTTTACTTGTTTTGTTTACCAATATTTCTTGTGTGATCTGAAACAAATTTAAGCCTGAAAAGTGTCTGAAAACAAGAAGTAGGTAGCTGCTTTTGCCTTTTGTTCCCAAAATAAAAATGATAGAGCTAAAATAGCAAGGCAAAGGTCAAAGGGGTAGGGTAAGTCAGGCAAATTTACCCACGCTCGGGGAAGTGCATCAGTTTAGTTTTAACTAACGCAATTTGATGTTTTTGTGAGGGGGGATGCGAATTCTTCATGAGTAGATATACGTACCACAACTTATCTTCTTAGTATCCTAACTCATTTCTAACGTCAAAGGGAAAGGGAAACGAACTGTAAAGACGCTTTGTTACGCAAATATCTGACTGCCTCAAATATTGAAGTTTGAAACGGATAATAGGCAATGAAGGTGACGAAAATGTGAATGCTAGGAACGAGACAGATCAAAATTAAATTATGTTAAGTGTAATTAAACCTTTCAGGCTGGATACATGCTAGATGGTCTTACTGTTGGATTCTCATTTTTCCGAAATTAACTTGTTCTTGCTTGGCTTGCATAAAAATGATATAATAATATTTTCTCAATTTCGTCCACATTAATGCATTGTGAACAACGTTTGAGGGATAACACCACCCGCCGTGGCTGGGGAGTGTTAATCACTTATTACCACTGAATATTCAACTAAAAGCCCATTAAGCATGGCACTAGCAACGTGACAAATGGCAAAGTCAAATTACATTCATGCAGTGATTTGCATAGTTCGAATCACTGCCCGAGCGAGGCCATATCGCATTTGTTATCGACAGGAGGGGCCTGTAATTAACAGTTAATTGATGGCTGATAGATGACGGGCTACTAAAGCCGACTACCGAGCACGTCTCACAGAGAGACTTAACTATAGATCCAAGGCTAGTTTAGTGTAAAAGGAGAGATCAAGTGTCGTAGTATGTTGCCTGCTGGTTTGATGACTGAATGAAACAAATGCAATATCAGAGTTTTATTTACTCTGATACTTTTTTGATAAAGTTTTGATACTTTTTCATACTTTTGATAATAATTTTCCTTGAAGCCTGGGTACATTTGCGTGTTAGGTATTTATTTCACCTAGTTGTGCGCATTGTGCTATTTTTATTTCTAGGTATTCCTGACGGTAGAAATTGATAACATTACTCTTTTTATATATTATTTACGAAGCAAACTTACAAGGATTCAGTCTCCAGCCGTCGAGATTCTGTTCTCTTGCATGGTTGTGTTTTGGAGCTTGACACTGCCATCTTTTCTTTTGCCCAAATATATGAGGCAAACAAATATTACACCAGAAAGTAATTAATACGCCTTACAGTTTACACATCCCATACACACTACACAGTCAGAGAAGCACACGGGTGCGCACTTACCTAAGAACTTGGAGAACTGAGCTGGAGGTCGCCAGAGCGGGTACTGCTTCGGGAACCTCTCCTTGGACCAGAACGTCTTGATGACTGCCTTGTATACGACCAATTTACCGGGAGCACAGGCGTCGCGCGAGTGCGGACTGGCCGAAACGAGAGCGCAGAGCAGCGCCAGAGTGGCGAGGGGCAGATGACCGACGGTCATGGCGACGGCCGGCTCAGGTCAGGTCAGGTCGGGTCAGGTCGGGTCGGGGACAGTCGCAGTGACCAGCACTGGACGGTCAGTCAGCGGGGGCCGGCGGGTTCACTGCTGCTCGGAGCCGCCGGGCCGGGCGCTCATCGTCTGCCAGCGACGAGGAGCGTCTGAGCAGCGCGCTCAGGTGCTCGCTATACAGTCGGGACGCCGCGCCGACGCACCCGCCGGCCGGCTCTGGCATTGACCGCGCGGTGCCGTGCTCAGAGTCGAGCCGGCGGCGAATGGTGGCTCCCCGGCAGTAGCAGACTGCGTGGCGGCAGCGACTGTCGCCCCCAGTCGCCGACTGTCGCGCACAGAGAGTGATGACAGTTACTGCTCTTCAGTTAGTTCTGCGATATTTATCCATTTTAAACCGGCTTGTAGCTCATCGCTTACAAATTTTGTCAAAGTTTGAAAATAGCAATGAAAACGAACAAAAATGAATGTGGTGACTTCTAATGAAGGGTGCATTTACAGCATAATTTGCATTTGACATAAGCTTTTTGTGTTTAACTACTTAATCTTTCATCTCACCAGGCTGTCGCGCTGAACTCGACAGAGACACGCATCAGACGTGAAATAACATTTATTAGAACCACTTTAGATACAAATGAGATCACTAAATCTGAATAAGGCACTGTTTCACCACCGTGTGAGCTGCTCTCCATTTTAGTATCTGATGACAGCCCAACGTCTGAGTCTCTGATATTAGCCTGAATCCTGCGCATACACCCACATCGGTGGTATCAATATACTATTCTGCACATATCTACTAGATTTGTAACTCCATATCTAGTCTAACATTTGTGGCTGCTGCTCTCACTTGGTAGAAAAGCTATTTTCGGGGTAGTGTAGCTATTAGAGCAAATATAATTATTAAATGTTCTTAACAGCAATTGTACCGGCCGGATAATGCCAACAAGTCCGCAGTTTTTCAGCGGGTCCGTCCATACTTTACGAAGGGCAGGCTAGCTCGGGTGGGATTTCCATTTAAAGCTCTTGTATAGGCAATAAAACACTTATCGGTAGCTGAAAACATTGATGCTAAGCAACTAAATCTTCGAAGCATTTGACGTAACAGGTACGCGTTGTCGAGGAACAATGATCATATTGCACACGGGGCGACATCCAATGGGGTAAGGGAGAACCATGTCCTCTGCGACAAGCTCTGACGGTCCTCTGCTAGCTCGTCTGTCGATGCGGTCATTCTCGCTGGCTGAGAGCGCCCGGGGTAGGGCGAGGCATGGGTATAGTGGTGCGCTCGGGTAGCGCGACTAGTTGCAGCACTTGCCCCACTTGACCAGGTAGGTACCGGCCTTCTGGATACCAAAGTAGTCACCTGACGGACAGAGAACGAACGTTGTTAGGTCAGGGGCAAGCGTGATATATTGGCGCTGTGCTGTGCTGTCGCTCGGGAGATTCAAAGAGAAGAGTTCGCTGAGAAGAGCCTATGCAAGAAAGGAAAACACATTTCTGGAGACGGTCGTCAATGTTCCGTCCATAAATATGAGCACTAATTAAGTGTGACTTAAACAAAAAAGGCCAGATGGCGAGGTACTCAACATTTTTACCACTCTCCTATTACGCATCCCCGATCTGATGCGGATGGCCTGTCAGGAATCAGGAGCGTGATTTGATCGGTAACAAACAGCATCTTCAACCGTTACGGTGGCACGGTAAGGCTCTCGACTGCACGCACTCTGAATGAAACATGTGCGTGTCCAAACAACCGTGTCGCCACCTGATGCGTGGTCGCGTCGGGGTCACGGGTCGGTTGGGGCACAGCGGTGTTTTGATGGCGCATACATAAATGACCCAACGGTGACCCGTGTCGTAAGGACAGAGTCACTAACCAAGATTACTTTACTACTCTCACTAACAGCCCATACGCAGTGTGTCGTTATCGGGAATTAAAGCAACGGAGATCGTTGTGGATCGATAAATTAAATTAAATCAATAGAAGCAGTTCGAAGAAGCAATTGTATTTTGATTTATAGCCGTCTCTGCCATTTATGATGCCTGAACACACCTTTGTTTTGAGGAATTCAATAAGAGATCACGGCAATGATCTGTCATGACGCTAGCGATTTGGGGACCTTGGCGGTGACTGCCGATGTCTACTCTACTGTCATCACCCGTCCCCCCGCCCTCCCCCCCCCCCCCGGAAACGGGACCGAGCCTGTGAGTCAGCAGCGCGCGCCGTTAGTTATATACGCTGCCGGCTCACACGGTTTTGTGGAGGGCCACCGTGCCAACTGTGCTGACCTGTCACCGAGTGGCGGGTGACCGGTGACACCAATAGGTCACCGGTCCACCGGTGTCAATGTCACCGGCCCCCGGAATGGGTCAACGGTGGCCGGTGATTCATCCCCACTCGGCAGCGCGGCGTCTGCCTTCAGCGGGTCCGGTCGCGGCCAAAGCTCACACGGCGCGGCAGCGGTGGCTTCAAACTAATGCCCGCGACTAAAATAATGAAACGACGCTGAGCGATAATGGAATGTCTTTACTTTGGACAGGTCAGTTCGTTACACGTCATTTGTCTTGGTATTTTGGGATCGCGTGCCGAAAAACTGTCAACACAAGCCATTTTTGTCGCGGCGGCTCTGTTTTGGCAAGGAGCAGAGACACTCCACTGCAATCTGTCTGTCTCGTTAATGTAATGACGTTTGGTCGCCAGCGGACGAGTTTGCTCGCTCGGCTTATTTTTGATAAAGCAGCGTTTGGAGGCTACCCCTGGTAAATGGTCACAGTTTCACTGGACGTGATGCACTTTTTAAACACCTTGGTATGTAGTGAGTCGGTGAACGTGCTACTGACCTTGGTAGTCGCCCTGGCTGACGGTCTCCGAGTCACTGGACGTGGTGCCCTTCACCACCATGACGTCGTCGAGCGCGGCCGGCACGTCCGCGGCGGCCACCGTCTCCCAGTGCTCGCCGTCGTTGGAGGCCAGCGTCGACGTCAGCTTGCTGTCCCGGGCGTACATCTTGCCGCCAGAGTGGCCGAGCAGCTGACCGATGTACTTGGGCTGACCTATGGAAGAAAAGGGTGGAAGGTGGTCAGTGGAGGGAGGGGGAGAGAGAGAGAGAGAGAGAGAGAGAGAGAGAGAGAGAGAGAGAGAGAGAGAGAGAGAGAGAGAGAGAGAGAGAGAGAGAGAGAGAGAGAGAGAGAGAGAGAGACGGGAGAAAGATGAATAGAGAAAGCAAATAGCACTGAGAGCGCAAGCTCTAGTTTTGGTATAATTACAAATATGACAAAAGTGTGGAAGAACTCCGTAATGAAATCTTCGAAGAAACAGAACAACTTTCTGACGATTGCTTTCTCTTCACGTCTTCCGTCTAGCAATAGTTGCTAGCTACAAAGCAAACGAATTTATATCAACAAAAATGTCTCACACCGGGACATTGGACATTATATACAGACAGCTCCCACACGTGTCTCCCGGGAGTTTATTCCCGTCGCTTGTTGTGACAAGATTCAACAACTCTTCCTCTGAATACCTCTATACGCTGGATTGTTCAGTGACAGGTGGCAAGGATCGCTGACTGCATTAACAAACACCAGCCTGTGATGCTATTTGTTTTCCAGTGAACTCTATTTGTCTATTCTGAGCCTAGCATGTGCCGATTGAATCATTTACTGCCACCCAGACGGATGAACATAGCCGACGCGAGTCCGGATCCGGAAAAGCGATGTTTACCACAACAAACCGGCCAGTTTCATCCGCATTGCGGCGTGCAGTGCTCAGCTACAACAATGAGTAACGCTTCCCGAACACCGGGCCGCGTGCCTGAGAACAAAGCGAATCAACAGTTTCGGACAGGTGACCGGTGTTGGCTGTCACGACGAGGCCATAGTGGAACGGTTCATCTCGGACCACCGAGTCAGTCTGGGGGGACCACCCACACCGACTGGGGGGAGGGGGCTGCAGACGGGGTCACTGCGGACGCCACCGGGGGTCATGCGCGGTCGAGGCGACAGCAGGTGCGGTCGGGATGGTTTAGGAAATGGTGTCACAGTGGTCTGATGAATGGCCTTTCGCTGTACTACAATGCAGGGGAGATGACGGCGTTGGTTGACCGGTAAGTCGGTGACGTTGTAACGGGTTCGGCGGCTCATGATCGGTGACCTGCTTATGGACAGACCGTGAATGATTTCCTTTATATTTAAAAGGTGGCATTCTTTTAGAAACACACATTTGAATCTCAAGAAGTTAGTGCACCATTTGAAGCTACCTTTGAAAAACCATTTGTAAGCTTTGCGTCACGACAAATGATTTCCTGCATATAAACTTTTATCAATAATATTTAAATCAAAAAGTCCAGAACCGCAGAGGTATAAAGCATTCCGCAGTAATCCCTTCACTCACTTTTATAGTCATTAAGACTTGAAAACTTCAGCTGTCCATGATTTTGATTCACCTACAAACATTGGCTGAGTGGCTGAGGGAAACTCCCTCCTGCAAACTGTTGTGGTCGAGTGTGCACTGTCTACTGATATGTATGTGGTCAATAGAGTCAGCAGCCGGGCCCGTTTTGGTCCTGGAAGTGCTTCAGACATGCCGAGACCGTTGCTCATCTATGACTACCCCTGACGGCAGGCTGGTGCCGCCGGCGTCACCCAGGGGCGCCGACTTCTCAGACGGTTGGCGGCTACCTGTCGGCCGATCACCCACTTCAAAGTGCAGACCCATCAGCCAGCCTCGCGTTCTGGCGATGCTGGGGCTGATCTTGAATAGGCTGCCTCGTTCGGTCAACATTCGGCTTTGTTGCAACTTGCATGCCACGCGGCTTGCTCATGAGAGCTGACGACGCAGCACTGTCTGACCCTGGTCTGACCCGCCGACCTCACCTGTCCGTCACGGTCGTTCAATTGACAGAGGTTGTTGGACCTGCCGCCGTGAACAGTAGGCCGGGTCGGTCGGCAGTTAACGAGCATATATAGCCACCACGAGGGACAGTCACCGGTCCTTTTTTGAGCCTCAGGTGACTCTCGTCGGCCGTCGTTTTAGCTTCAGGTGACATTGCTCGGTTTGTTCACTGGCTTTCTGTGTCTTTGAGTGTGGACTGTCCCCATCGCAACAGCCCGCAATAGCTCTCACCAGTCTGACGAACCACCGGCGCCATCCCCTCAACTGCGACGAGCATCACCTGTGCCAGTGATACCCACCTGCCACAGGGAGTCGAGTTTCCGCCATAGTGATGGGGGTATAAACAGCTCAGCAGTCACCGCCTCCACCCAACCACTGACAGTAGCTGCCTACCGGGAGTGCCTACCTGGGCAGGGCTGAGCGCGGCCACTCGTAATCTGCATAACGGCACCATTACCTTAGCATAATGGGGTAGATGCTCGTTTGGTATGAGTGCAGAGGATAACGAGCTATAAAGGAGCTGAATGAAGTGCTGTGTTAACGATTGAACAAATTGACCGTTAAGTTGTGGTGCCTTTGCTTTAGGAAACCGCTATGAGTCGTTTGTTCACGTAGACTTTTTTTTTCTTCTTCAAGTATAAAGAGACGTCAGGATGATTTTACGATGTTCTTGTAGTTTTGAACTTACGGACGTATTGCAGGCTGCTGATCGTTTAGGCTGATTAGAAACATAATAATTTATTAAGATTTTGTCGGGTATAGAATGTGATGGAGACACAGCAACTTTTTGGCCTGCAATTCTTTCTTTGCGCACTTTTTACGAGCGAGCGAGCGCAGCGAGCGAAGCGAAGTCTTTTCAATATAACGGAAAAATCTCAGTATGAGCGGCCCGGCCCGGCCCGGCCCAGCCCGGCCCGGCCCGGCCCAGCCCGGCCCGGCCCGGCCCGGCCTGTAACGCTTTTAAGAGGCTTATATCTCAGCAACCGCTGGACCGATTGGCCTGCGGTCTTTTTTGTTGGGTAGCCCCATCCCTTCTACCCCGTAATTGACTACTTTTGACACATCTCAGTGACCGTCGTGGCACGTGCCACGTGAAAAGTCAAGGGTGTTTAAGCTGTTTTGCAAAAGTAGTGATTTTGAGAGGCCCATATCTCAGCAGCGGCTTGAGCGATTGTCTTGCGGTAATTTTTATAGGGTATAAGCTGCATCCCTTCTACCAAAGGTCGGATACTCTTGATCTATGTGAGTGACCCCCACTGCACGTGCAAAATACAAAAAGAAGAGGTGCCAAATTTGTTCCCATTTCAGTAACTCGGTAATTACTGGGGCGATTTCGCTGAAACTTGGCATACAGGTAGGCACCCACCAGGCAATGCATTCCCATGTGTTGCGGTTAGGGTGCTACTGCACGTGCGCACGTGCAGGGGGCGTTTTCAGATCTCGAGAACGGCTGGGCCGATTGCGCTCAAATTTGGTACACGGTTGGGGACCGGTTAGTAGGGTGCCGTGCAAGAGTCATTTTGGACCCCGTTTGCACGTGCGCACGTGCAGAATGCCGCTTCCAGATCTCAGGAACGGCTGGGCCGATTGCGTTCAAATTTGGCACACCGCTAGCGACCGGTTAGAAGGGTGCTTTGCACAAGCCCGTTGGAAGTACTCTCTCGCCCTTCCGCACGTGCAGGGCTCACTATCTCGCTCGCTCGTCCTTCGCCCAAAAGGCGTTTTACTGGTATAGATCTTTTGACTTTTATTACTGTTTTGTCTGTAATTTTAATAGGTACTTATGTACTTAAAAGCAGTGGGCACTCTCGCAGCACAAGCATTTTAACAATTGAAAAAATAAAATAAAAATTTAATAATGCAAGATGGCACAAACTATAAAACAAAGGAACTCAGTGGCGATAGGGCAATGTCAGTGGTAGCAGTACATGCCCATGCCCCATTGCCCAGCTGCCCCGATAGTCCCGCGATGCTATCACCGTGCTGTGATCGTCCAGCCAGCGTGGGCTGTCCAGGAAAACGGCCAGTGTGGGCGCCTGTCCGCTGGTCCGCTCGGCGCTGCTGCACGTGTGTCAGGGGAGAGGGTGCGACCGTCTGTCTGCCTACTGTCTGGTCACAGCCGCGCGCAAAGTCGGCGCCGCACCACACCGCCGTCAGCAGACAGTCCATGGCCTCAATATCGGCCGCACCCGCCCCCGCCCCCGCCCGCACGGCTGAACGGCTAACGTAAGGCGCAGACCGGCGCGGCGCGATTCATGCATTCTCCAGTCGCCGTCTGGCAGGGCTGGAAGGACGCCGTATGACTGCACCAGGATACTGAGGTAACGCCTAACGGGTCTGTCTGGGCGGCAGCGGGTCAGCGCGGAGGGCCGGAGTTCTGGACAGTTACTGACCAGTCCGGCCTCTGGACGGTTACCCCGGAATCCTAACGATAATAGGCTAGCCCGAATACCGGATAAAAAATATCGTGCAAGCAAAGACGTTGCTTGATAACGTGACCTGGCTTCTGCTGGTTTGGAGTTCTGTTCTTGATACAAAAAAAAAAATCCGGTGATATCGTAAAAAGAAAATGCTGGACAATCATTTTGCGAGAGCCCTTGCGCCTTGTCCTTCCTTAGGCATTGCCCTAGTGCCATCGGTCCCGGGAGCCTGAAAAAGGTAAGTACGGGCCAGTGCAGTGGTATGCAAGTACGGACCATCTCCACTGCTGCACGCCCATGTCGTCATCTATACCGTCGTTTCGGCTATCGCCAGCGCCACCTACCGATCCAGACGACGTCATCTCGCGAGGCGAAGCAGAGCATAGCATCCTTGGCCATGTCGTAGTCGCAGTAGTAAATGATGCTGTTGGTGGTGTCGACGGCAAAGTGTCGCCACTTATAGGGTTCGCTGCTGTAGATGGTGTTGTCGGTGATGTCCGGACACGTGCTGTCCGCCACGGTGTCAGTATGGCAGCCGTACAGCTCGGCTCTGACGGAGCGGGGGCGGGGGGAGAGTCAGTCGGGCGGGGGAGGGGGAGTAGGGGAAACGGTGCCTGGAGAGGGGGAAGGTTAATGATACTACTCTCGCGAGCCGTCGTTTTAGTAATAAGTTTATTCGTCCTGCTGTTTACAATTAAGTTTTTAGAAAGGCATTGGTCAGCGATAATGAAACCGTACAAAATATATGCAATCACTTCACTACTTTGAATAAATTGGATTCTCGAGAGTTCATCCGTATTCCATACCATCCAACAGCTCGGCTTATACTTTGAAGGCATAGGCAATGGGTCTTCCTGAGCTGGGGACTGGTCCCATGTCCCACCTGATCTGGATGTAGCTGGAGGCGTCGGCGTCGGCGGCGCTGATGACGATACGCACGTTCTTGGCGCGGAAGCTGCTGTCCCCGAGGGCCTCCATGGCCATCCCCTCGGTCACCGTGCCCTGGTGAGAAATAATTCCGTGAAGAAATGATGCTAGATTCGTATCCCATCGTCTAAAAGAGCGCATCAGTTAAAAATATTGTAATTGATGCATTAGCGGAATTTTAATGTAAAAAATAGCAGAGTGAACCAGGAGCCAGGGCTGCGGAGTCGATGGATTTTCGGCGACTCCGACTCCGACTCCGACTCCGGCTTTCAAAAACCAGCTCCGACTCCGACCCCGACTCCGGGCAGAATTGTCGACTCCGACCGACTCCAACTCCCGACTCCGACTCCACAGACCTAGCAGGGCTGCGGAGTCGACAGATTTTCGGTGACTCCGACTCCGACTCCGGCTCGGGTTTCTAAAATCGACTCCGACTCCGACTCCGACTCCGGTCACAACTGTCGACTCCGACCGACTCCGACTCCGACTCCGACTCCGACTCCGCAGCCCTGCCAGGAGCTATTTAAAGTTTGGTGGTTTATCACCGCCAGCTGGTACGAATAGTGTTTGTCTGATTTTCAAACAACCTGCGGTTACTTGCTGCGTTTTTACGTCGGTGTGCTGTATGAGGTGTGAATCCGGATTCCATTGGTCCCTCTCACCCGTGAGAAACTACGGCCATGACTCACTCCGCCCGTTGATATAACGGTGGCGTCATCACCCCGTAACCAACACACTCGACTGGTCCTCAGGTCACCCTTCCCTCGCACCCTCGAAACTCACCGTATACTTCTCCTGAAAGAAGAGGCCGTCGTCGCTGGCCATCAGCTTGACCTGGGTGACCTTGCGGATGCCGTCGTTGATGACTTTCCATCCGGAGACCCGCGTGGGAACGCCGAAGCGCACCTCCACGTACTGACTGGTCCAGGAGGGATCGTCCCGCACCGGCGGCCGCCAGCCTGGCGACGTGACGGTGCTGTTACAGTGTGTGGTCGTCTCAGGGAGTGGTGACGTCATAAAGAGTGGAGGGTGTGACGCAGCGAGTGGTGCTTCAGCGGTCAAGATTGATCGGATCATTGGTCACACCTGACACCGGCTGGGTTGTGTTGCTACAACTGTGCATATGAACAATGAACGGTACGCATTTCTGAGACTTACGTATATTTTTACAGGAATGACTCAAACTTCGGGTCGATGAAACCAAAAGAGTTAGCGGACGTGTGCATCACGCATATGCATAACAATGTCGGTGTATTTGTTGGCGTTGGAGTCGTTATCATAGGAGCTGCTCACTTGCCTAGCCCTGGACTGATGGTTTTACTGGAACGCGATCCTATGAGCTGCTCAGCGTTTACGTACCGAGCCCGGTGGTTTTGATGGCGGGCGGACCGTACGAGGTGCTCCTCTCGATGGCTGCCGACACTGAGAACTTGCAGTCAACGAGCGTCGCCAGCAGCGGCTCGAAACATTCTGCGCGTGAAAAGACAGGCCGTACATTTAGACAACCGGGGTCAGATAAACGATAAATAGGCTAAGGTACGATTGTCTAGCTCGTATTGTCTGCTTTAGTTTCCATTTGTTTATACCAGTTGACTATGTGAGCAGTGTTATCCCCCCTAATCACTCACCCGGATTGCTGACCTCGTACATGGTGTAGGTCATTGGGCCGCAGCGGGCGTACGCGTTGGTGTCCAGCGTTGGTTTACAGATGGGACGGGCCAGGGTGGTGGCGTTGGCCCAGCCCGAGCCGCGACCTCGCACGTAGTTCGGGTCGATGGACGCGTTGAAGTCGACGGTGAAAATGTCGGTGAAGTAGATGTCGCCCACCTGTCGGCATTGGATCGGAGAGTTTTCGGCTGAGGGTTGGAGCGTTCCTACGCACTCTGTTTTCACACTTATCCAGTATCATTGTAAATCAGTAATCACTGCTTTTTTACTTCATTTCGCAGGAAATCAGAAATAGAAATGCGTCGAAGACAGTTTCTATCTAGACGCAATAACCTGTTGCTAGAAAATAAGAATCCGTATGTGTTGTCACTCGTTACGTACATTGTTTCAAATAAAAATTTAGGTGTCTTTCTTCAGTCTAACCTTCGTGTCCTTAAGTTACCTACTGTAATTCTGCTTGTGGAATCCGTATGCCAATATTCTCTCCGGAATCCGTATGCCAACATCAGCTCTCGTCTACCCACCACGAGCGCCACGCTGGAGCCCTTGAAGAGCACGGTGATGGACGAGGCGTTGGTCTCCACGTCGCCCTCGGTGTAGTTCATGTAGGGAGGGAAGATGATGACGACTCGCGCGTCGATGGCCTCCAGAGTGGATGTGTTGCTGTGGCTTACCATCACCGTCATACCGACCTTCTGGTCACTGTCGGTGTGAGAGAGAGAGAGAGAGAGAGAGAGAGAGAGAGAGAGAGAGAGAGAGAGAGAGAGAGAGAGAGAGAGAGAGAGAGAGAGAGAGAGAGAGAGAGAGAGAGAGAGAGAGAGGAGAGAGAGGGGAGAGTCATAGCTGTCAATAATTGCAGCACTGTGTTTTTCACTACTTGCCACTTTTTGATCTCAGTACCTACAGACAGATTGAGCTACAGACAGACCAGAATAAACTAGAAAGGATAAAAGACTAGGTGCATATAGTTATATATGAACTAATCATCAACATTTCGTTGCACTTTGTCATCGTTAGCACAGAACAGGCGCAAAGTCCCCCTGGAACCGCCACCGTGCTTACATCTCCTTATCGTACTGCGTCTTTTCCGGCTGTTTGAGTGTCAGGTTGGTCTGCAGGTCCACCTTCTCAGAGCCGGCCAGTGTCGCCGTCACGTCCTGGGTCTCCACCACGATAATGTCGCCCAGCTGCGGCACACGAGGTAGACGAGACCATGAACCCCGAATACATGTCGAGTAGGTAAATGCGTATCGGGAACGGATTTTTCTATTCACTCAGCATTGCGATCCGTTTTCAGCATGCATTATATCCCCTCTGCTCATATATCCCCGGTCATTGCCAGACGCTCCAACGGCAACGCTATACCTAAGTCAGGCAAGTACGGTTCAACAGAGACCATGGTGCCATTAGGTGATACCGGTACCAGTAAAGACTGAAGATGCTAACAATGTTAGAATTAATGTGAGAAATGTACGTTTCGCCGATGTACGATGAACTGTTACAGGAGAGGTCGAGAGAGGCGACCTCACCTTGAATGAGATGTAGAGCGGCTTGGTGGCCGTGCTAGTCGCGCGCAGCTGGGGATGGTCCGTGACCTGGATCTGCACCTCGAGCTCCATACCCCACTCGGCATCGCTGCCCTTTCCGCGGTAAATCTCGCTGCTCAGACCTGGGGAGAGAGGTGCACCCGGTCAGACAGCGGGCGCTCACCGCCCAGACCTGAGAGAGAGGTGTACCCTGTCAAAACAGGGCTTGAGATCAACAGGGAGTAGCGTACTGCGTAACAAACCCGAAAAGGGGTGAAGATACCAGACCTCAAAAGGAGCACCGGGCTATTTGATCCCTTGCTTTGATTAGCACAGTTGCTTCTTGTTACGGATTGCACAGATTATGTTACGAGTGAAAACCTCGCTGAGCTAAACAGCTTGTTGAAAAGGCCAGGAAATTTGAAATATTGTAAATTGGAAAGAAGTAAGAATGGATGCTTCATCATAACCCATTCATCACCAACTCGACTGTACGAAGCGACTGGGGTTTATTTCCTCTTCTACAGACACCTATAGCCCCGTCCCCTCCCGCCATTACAGGCCTCAGTCCCCGGGGCGGCGGGAAGAGCCTGCAGTCTCCCTCCGGGCACCTCTATCCCTGTCTCCTTCCCGCGGACACAGGGTCCTCAGGGTCCCCGGGGCGGCGGAAAGAGCCCTGTCACCCGCCGGACACCTATATCCCTGTCTCCTCCGACCGCTGACACAGATCCTCCAGGATCCCCCGGGGCGGGCCACCTACCGAGGTTGGTGATGTGGCCCAGGCTGACCAGCAGCGAGTCGAACTGGCTCTTGTGGGTGAGGTTGCGGTTGGTGTGGGTGAAGTTGAGCAGCTCCTCGGTGAGCAGCGGCGCCCCCAACACGTCGGCGCCCATGTTGGCACCGTAGCGGATTCCGTGCACCGTGTAGAAGGCACGGGCGGTGTCCGTGGCCGTCACGATGGCCAGCTGAGGCACGAGGGACGGCCGGTGTCAGTGGTCCGCAGAGGGGTGTCAGTGGTCCGCAGAGGGGTGTCAGTGGTCCGCAGAGGGGTATCAGAGGTCCGCAGAGGGGTGTCAGAGGTCCGCAGAGGGTATCAGAGGTCCGCAGAGGGGTGTCAGTGGTCCGCAGAGGGGTGTCAGTGGTCCGCAGAGGAGTGTCAGTGGTCCGCAGAGGAGTGTCAGTGGTCCGCAGAGGGTGTCAGTGGTCCGCAGAGGAGTGTCAGTGGTCCGCAGAGGGGTGTCAGTGGTCCGCAGAGGGGCGTCAGTGGTCCGCAGAGGGGTGTCAGTGGTCCGCAGAGGGGTGTCAGTGGTCCGCAGAGGGTGTCAGTGGTCCGCAGAGGGTGTCAGTGGTCCGCAGAGGGTGTCAGTGGTCCGCAGAGGGGTGTCAGTAGTCCGTCACCAGGGACCGCGTCACCGCAGCCGGAGCCAGTGGCGTCCGGGCTTATCACAGGAAGCACAACCGGAGTCGCAAACAACTGTAAAATTTTCAATAAAAGCTTTCTCTGCGAGATCTTGTATGTACTAACTGTAGTTGAGCGAAGCTATCAAATAACCAGCGAAATTTTCATTCAACATCTCAATATTTCGCGGATGTAGTATTTGCAAATGCATTGTAATAAGTTACGTTTTACTTTATGCAAGCACTGTACACCTAAAAATATTCCATTTTCCTGTCTCCAATATCCTCCCTTCTCACCCAAGTCCCTGACTGCCCCTCACCTCGGAGTCGTGGATGCCGGGCGGTACGATGAGCCGGAAGGGCACCCACATGTACTGGCCGATGCTGGCAGACGGCGTGACCGTGTTGCCGCTCAGGTCGACGGTCTGGTTGGTGTTGAAGGACGCAGCGTCGGTGGCTGTGGGGAATATAGACAGAGGTCAGTCAGGCTGAGAAGTGTAGAGGGGACAAATCTGGTAGTGGATAAGCAGTATTGCCTTCCGTTGTTGGACTCAGGACAGGTGAACTTCACAAGTCATGTTCTGCGAAAGCATTTACTGTAAATTGCCACCAATTGCGTGGTCGTGGATATCTCACATAGATTACGACATTACGAGTACGTCCGACCTAGGGCTGATAATCCCGGGATCGGGATCCCGGGATCCCGGGATTGTATTAATCCCGAATCCCGGGATTAGAAGCATCGGGATTTCGGGATCCCGATATTTTCCGTACAGAAACATCGTTCATAAAGTGTAGCTGATAGTAGGTATGTAAAAAAAGGTAAGTGAGTAACAACGCATTACAGTGCAGTTTTATGTCCAAAGATCATAATTACGCCGTGCAAAGTCGTTATGCACAAGTATTGGTTACATATATACCTAATTGACATTGTTTCACACCGTCTCAGCCTTCACAATGTGGCGAGAGACGAGCTCTCTCTCGGCTCATCTCTCGCTCCCCGCGACGTCCCTCGCGTACTCGGTTTAACAGATCATTTTGCACGATGACATACTATGCCGACTATCGAATTCGAGTCCATCGAGTGGGAGGAGGTCGGCCGTCTTCTCTGTGTGACTGTGGGAGCACGTCTAGTGGCTCAGTTACTGTCAGCGCCCCGTGGCTGGACGATCCATGAGGCTGGCCGGGCGCCCTGGGCATGGTTACCGTTAGTGAATAATTATTAATTACGTGCCTTTGTGATAAGCTATAGCTAACTTTGCCAAAATGTCGGATTTTGCTGAATTTAAAGGCAGTGCGGTGTGGGAACATTATCTAAGAAGTCAAGATGGCCACACAGCAAAGTGTCGTCTTTGTAAAAAGGTACTGAAAATATCTGGAGGTTCCACCAAAGGACTTCACGTCCACCTCAGGAGCAAGCATGGTGGTATGAGTGTTGCTGGACCATCCCGATTCGGAGAGACGCCGCAAAACGTGTCCGGCGAAGGTCAAGGTGAGAGCGCTTTAAACCACGGCACCGCATCTAAAAGGAATGAAGACCTTAGATTGTTTCTATGTTTCCAAAACGGACGACGACCAGGGCCTCGTTTCATAAAACTCTGCCGTAACTTACACCTTTCCGTAATTCACACCCTTTCAAACTACGGAGCGCAAATAAATCCGTTTCACAAAGCCACAACTGGAATTGTTTACACCTCCGTAACTAAGCACATTTGCGTAGTTACCGTAATTTATCAAGCGTCCTACAAATTACAATTTCATGTCAACACTTATTTTTTTACGAGAATTTATAAAACAATTATGTTGAATTTAAATCTTAAAAATTATGTATGAAAAAACAAAATTGATATTGATGACCATCCTTTATTAAAACAATATATTAAAAACAGCAGAAAGCCATTCTTTTTTTTTTTTTTTGCTCGGTCGGCCTAGTGCCATACCCGAGCAGGGGGCAGTTACTCCGGCAATTTTCGCCGGGCAGCAAGTCTTACGTTAAACCGGTTTATGTGAACCCGGTAGCAAAAACAACGTGGGATCCTATCTTAATGTGGAATCAAAGCTAAGGGAGGTACTTACGTGTATAGCCAAAGAGTCGAGATGTCTAGAGTCGCAAACACAACAGTGGGAATGACTTTTATTAACAATACATAATAGACATGAACACTTGTGAGCTGGTGTCAGTGTAATGGAGCCGGGAAGCTTTCATCGCACTGACAGAAGGTATAAGACCTTCTAGGCTCCAGCCCCCCGGCGGGGCCTTGTTGTGGGGTGTAATGGTCGGGAGAAAAAGTCCTAAATAATAAAAAAACCCGACGCCTAACGCAAAGGGCAAAAACCTCGCACCTAAGCCAAAACGGCGCAAGGGAAAAAGCCCTGTAACCGCGATTAATTAATGTGTGAGTTTGGGGGTGAGCCGGGAGACGAGGGCTCTGATTAGCGTTTTAGGGGCGGCAGCCGCGGCCCTAACACGCTAAAGGCTCTTGATGATCCGAGCGTCGGCGAGAAAGACGAACAGAAGGTCGTGGATATCCGGATGAGTGTCGCCCAGGAGAGTCGGAAGGTCGAGAGAGAGCCCATGTGTGTTAATGTATTGTACTATATGTCTGCGGTGTTGGTGTAGGTGTGGGCAGTGGAGGAGGAAGTGTGAGATGGTGTAGCGTGGGTGGTCGCGGCAGTGGTGACATATGGGTGGAGGTGCTCTGTCCAGGATGTAGTTGTGGGTGAGTTGTGTGTGGCCGAGCCGGAGCCTGGCTAGGACTCTCTCTTTGATCCTTGTGTTTTGATGGGAAGAGTAGAAATGGCAAAGTTTCGGTTTAATGGAGAAGAGATGTGGTGTATGATCATCTATCCAGCATTTTTGGCGGTATCTCTGGAAGGCACGGAAGAGCGAAGACAGAAAATCCGGAAGGGGGAGAGCGAGATGATTTCGAGATGGGAGATGAAGACCTTCTTTGGCTAGCTTGTCCGCTTTTTCATTCCCCTGTATTCCAACGTGGGACGGAATCCACAGGAGAATGACGTGTTTGTTTTCATCGGTAAAGCCAATAATCATCTTTTTTATTTTATAAACGATTTCGTTTTTTTTTCCATTTTTCTGTGAGCTATTGCCTTTACCGATGAAGCTGAGTCTGTGCAGATCACAGCCTTTTCTATGTTTTTCGATGAGACATATTTGAGTGCTGAGTGAATGGCTATCAACTCAGCACTAAATATGCTATGGTCGTCGTGTAGCCTACTTGTTTTGTTATGATGGTCAGATGTGACAGCGGCTGCCGTCCTCCCGTCACAAACTGAACCATCTGTATATATGTATGCATAGTCTTTATGTTCTTCTTTATGCTCATAGAAAAGTTGAATGCTTTCTTCTTTTGTGACTTTTGATTTTGCCTCTGCGTACAGGAATGCAATATTCTCTATGGCTGGCAGAAAGAAAGAAGAGATGGGTGGCCGATGAAAAATAGATGGAAAATCCAACTGGAAATCACTGAGTGTCCTTTCTATGCGATAGGCGATTATCGGGTATTTGAGTTGGGCCGTTGTGGGAGGGTCGTCCGTATATCGATTGGAGACAATGCGGTGCGAAGGCGAATAAGGGGACAAGAAAGTGCGCGCATAGAAGCGAAGGAGTTGGAGTTTACGGCGGTGAGAGAGAAGAGGAATATTACATTCTGCGTGGAGAGCCTTGATATTTGTGGTGCATTGGGCTCCTGTAACTATACGCAGGGCCTTATTTTGTATAACTTGAAGTGATTCGATCTGATTAGAAGCTATATCATCAAATAGAAAACTGTTGTAATCCAGGATAGGACGGATTAGGGAAGTGTATAGGTTAAGGAGGGTGCTGCGATCAGCACCCCAATCCTTTCCTGCTATACACTTAAGTATGTTGAGGCGCCTAGTGCAACGCATTTTAACGTCTTCAAAGTGATGTTTAAAGGAGAGTCTACTATCTAGTGTGATGCCGAGATATTTGAACGTTTTAACGTATTTGATAGTTTGGTTCTTTACTTTAAGTTCGGTATCAAATTTAAAACGGGACTTATGGGAGAATATAAGTGCTACTGTTTTGCTGGGCGACAAGACTAGGCCCCATTTATCGCACCAGCTATGAATATCCTCCATTGCGTTTTGAACGGAGGCAAAAGCCGAGTCAATGTTTCTTCGCGTTACCCAAATGGCCACATCATCGGCAAAAATAGAATGCTTAAGGCTACTAGGTGGGTTTTGAAAAAGGTCGTTAATCATAATAAGGAAGAGGGTTGGGGAGAGGACACTGCCCTGAGGGAGGCCGTGATCCTGATTAAGATTGGGAGAAAATGTGTTACCGCATCGTACGTTAAATGTTCTATCTTTGAGGAAATTAGAGATATAATGGGCCATGTGGCCGCGAATACCTGTCTTATGAAGTTTGATCAGAAGGGCTTGTTTATTTACTTTATCAAAGGCGTTTTGAAAATCAATGAAAACTGCAAATGTATACATGTCATTTTGGAAGCCCTTCTGGATGTCATCAATGAGGTGGACTATATTGTCTGCCGTGGAGCGGCCGGACCTAAATCCTGTTTGATGTGGAGAGAGGAGGTAGTTACCTTCTAGATATGCCCTAATCCGTCCATTGACCATATGTTCTGTCAATTTAGCAGCGCAACTGGTTAGGGATATAGGTCTATAACTAGAGGGGGAGGAGGGTGGTTTGGAGGGTTTAAGGATGGGGACGATGGTACTGTTTCTCCAGCTCTCGGGGTACAAATTGTTTTCCCATAGATTATTGATTACTATCAAAAGGTTTTCAAGGCCGGATTCAGAAAGGTTTTTGAAGAAAGGATAGGCTATCTGATCCGGCCCTACCGACGTTTCACCACATCGAGATATGGCGTGTCTAAGTTCGAACAAGTCAAAGTGCTTGTTATAATTTTCAGTATTTGCTGAGTCGAAGGAGAGGGTGTCGAGTGTTGTGTTAAAGCTGTCATGTTGTACTTGTGTGTATTGTTGAGCAGAAGATATTCGTGCGTAATGTTGGGCGAATTGTGTCGCAACTTGAAGGGGAGTGGTGTAGTGGGTGTTGTTAATGTAGAGATGAGGAATTTTGTAAGTTGTGCTGCGCCTTGTCGAAAAAACTCTAATTAGCGACCAGATTTTAGAAAGGGGAGTAAATCTATTAAAGCTGTTAGAGAAGGAGTGCCATCCTTCTTGTTTTGCTTTAAGTATTATTTGTGAAGCATCATATCGGGCCTTCCGGAGGGCATTTTCATGGTAATCGCAAATACATTTGTTGAAGACTCGTAAGGCACGCTTCCGCAGAGCTACAGCTCGATTGCAGTCAGCGTTCCACCAAGGGGCAGCTTTGTTTTCACGTGGGGGGTGGGTATGGGGAATATTTTGGTGAGCAGCAGCGAGAATCACGTTTAAAAAGGTGTTGATGTCAGGGGGAGGGGTGGGAGTGTGTTCATCTATATGTTTTTGAAAGGAGGCCCAATCAGCTTTCTTAAAGTTCCAACGAGGAAGAAATGTAAAATTGGCTTGTCCTGAAGGGACATTAAGTTGATAGTGAATGGGATAATGGTCGCTAAACAATGTATCATCTCCGACGTGTTGAGTGAAAAGTGTCGCGGTGTTAGTGTCTGTGAAGGCCAAGTCGATGACGGAGTGTATGACTTGACCTTGGTTGCGTCTGGTGAAAGTGGGTGTGCGGTTGTTAATGCAAATGAGATCAAGTGAATCCATTATCTTATCAATTAGTGTTCCGCGCGCGTTGTTCGTTGTTGAGCCCCAGGATCTGTGGTGGGCATTAAAATCTCCTAGTATTAGGCAGGGGTGGGGAAGCTGGACAAACAATTGGCGGAGTTCAGAGGAGGAAAAGCGGTGGCTTGGGGAAAGGTACAGGGAAAGGATGGCAAGGTCATGTTGCGCTATTTTGACTTGAGCTGCGACCGCGTTAAGCGTGGTGCGGAGCTGGATTTCGTGGTGCAAGAGGTTATTAGCAATATAAAGGGCCGAGCCGCCTCGGCGGGGTTTTTCATTTACGTTATTTGTATATAAAGTATATCCACGTATGTTAAAGTTGTAATTAGAGGAATCTGAGTCCAGAAAATGGGTCTCCTGAATGGCGGCTATCAACGGTTTTTTATTTAATATATAGTTCTTGAATTCGCCCCAGTGGCTCACTAGAGAGGAAGTGTTCCACTGGAGGACGAATTCATCAGATCGATGCATGTTTTATGTGTGTTGAGTGTTAAACAGATTTTTCACGAGCAGCCGCCGCTGCGGCTCTGGTCTTCATCCCCTCTGACGGGGTTGGGGACGGGGCACGTGTCGTGGCAGAAAGCCAGCTAAGCAGAAGTGCCTAACTACGAAAGTGGCGCGGCGCGGCGAATAAACAAAATTCCGATAGTGGCCACAAAAAGCGACTGGTACAGAAGATTTGCAGTTTCTTTTTCTCATTTTGGCTGTTCTTTCTTCCTCACCGGGCTCAACATTATAATTATTATTATTATTATTGTTTATTCAGCATCGTCATGCGACAAAAAGATACATACCCCCCCACCCCCCACCCACCCACACACACAGTTAATCAGAACTCAGGAGGTTAGTAGTCTTAACAGGCGCCGCGAGGCCTGACAGTTGCTTGCCAAAACCATCTTCAAACTGTCTATAAGACCGCTTTCTTGGAGTGGTGCCCGGACTATGTCGTGATCGACGTACCCAGCAGCGATGTGCATGATAGTGGCGAAATTCCCACCACACAGATTATATACGTGGCCAATAAACGACCCATCCAACTGCTCGGGGTACGTAGCAAGTCTGGCCAGTCCAGTGACGTAGGCTTGGCGAAGACGGTGGTCAGCGCGGAAAGCATTACGGAATGCGCGAAGGGCATCACCTCGCAGCACCTCACCGATGCGAGGCACCCCAGCAGCAATCAAAAGAGCCGTATGGTGCGCAGAACGCGGCAGACCCAGCGCTGCCTTGATCAGCGAAGCCTGTCGCGAGTCTAGACGCTCAATGTCGGCGGAACTGAGGGGAGCCGTCTCACAGCCGAAGATCAGTGCCGGCAGCACTACTGTCTTCCAGAGGAAGATTTTGTCAGCAGCAGTCAGGCGGTTGGTGAAATTGCCCAGGGGTGTGAGGCCATAGAATGATGCACAAGCACGCCTGATGCGCTGAGCCACGTGGCTGTCTGTGCTGAGGTTGTCATCAAGCACCGTACCGAGGTGCTCGGTCGTCTGCCGGATCTGCAGCTGCTGTCCTGACAGTGTCCACCTCGGTGTGCTCGTGAATAGTTCCTGTCCAAATATAATACAATGGCTCTTGGTTTTTCCCGGTTCAGGGTGAACGAAGTCGAGGCGCCAAGTAGCCGCGAATTCTCCCACCATCTGCAGCATTGCACCGAGGTCACGCGCGTTCGCAGATATAAGGAGAATATCGTCAGCGTAGCAGATAGCGGGTACGTGCTGGCTGTGTAGATATGCTCCACGACCGCTGCGATCTAGGACCTCAATAAGAGGTAAGAGGAAGATGTTTGCAAGGGTTGGCGATAAGATGGCCCCTTGTCTGGTGCCCCTGCAGACCAGGAACGCTTCAGATGTGGCGCCACCAAAAGTCACCCTTGCAGAGAGGTGGCGGTACCAGGTGACCATGAGGCACCAGCAGTGGTCGCTAAGATAATCTTCCAGACGGAAGAACAGACCGTCATGCCATATTCGGTCAAAGCATTTCCTCGCGTCAAGGTTTGCGACAAAAACAGGAAGACCCCTGGCTCGATTCTGCTGTATGGTCTCTCCAGCCAACAGAGACGCTTGCATGGTGCCCCGATTGGAGATAAAACCAAACTGCAGATGATGAGGTTCAAATGAGGCGTTCAGTTCGTCTAGCACTAACAGCTCGAGCAGCTTAGATGCGCAGGTTGTGATTGAAATCGGTCGATAGTTGTCCAAGCAGTTAGGGTCCGATTGAGATTTCTTCAACACGGGTACAATAACGCTGTCAGCGAAGGTAGCTGGCACGCTACACGTGGACAGGCAGACAGAGAGAAGGTGCGCCAGGGCTGACAGGAGACAAGGCGACTGACCATAGAGAAGGTGCTCCGCCGTGATGCCGTCTATACCAGGTGCCTTCCCACGCTGTAACCGGTGAATGAGGCCTGCTACTTGTCCAGCTGAAACCGTTCTTTCGGATGCATCGTTACGGATTCTCCTTAGTCGAGAATCTACATGTTCAGCAATTTGGAGCTGGTCCAGAGTCAGTTGCCTGTGACTATCTTGGTGCACAGTCTGGAAGTGGGTGCGGAAGTCGGCGGCGGATAGATCAGAGGCCGACTTGAGTCCATTACGCCGTATCTGTTGCACACGTCGCCAGAAGGCTGTCAGATTTTTGTCACGGCGGAGCAGTCGGAGAGTGTGGGCCTCGCTCTCGATCCGCGTCACTGCTGCACGTCTGCGGGCGTGACGGTAAGCAGATCTTGCAGCCTGATAGCACTGTGCCACTGCTGAGAGGGTAGGACGGCCACAGTTTACCCATATCTGATGCCAGAAACGAGTGCGATCCCGCGCCACTGCCACATCAGGCGACCACCAGGGCTTCGGGGGACGTCGCGACTTGGAGCATCCGGCGATTCGCGCAGCGGTATGTATGCATCGTGTAATTGCTTCGTCAATCTCATCCGGGGTGGCACCGTTGGTGAGCTGACAAGCACCAATAAGCTCGTCCAGAGAAGACAAATATATCTGCAGTTTTTCTGGACAACTCCAATCTAGTACTTCTGAATGGATGGAACCCATATTCAGTGGAGGGCTGGAGACATCGAGACTGGTGCCAGCTGAAGCAGACGGCAGCACCACGCTGCAAAGGACCGGAAGATGTGGGCTCAGGTTGTCCACACAGGGGACTACGATGCGACAATCATGAACTTGAGGCACCAGACATTGCGGTACAGCGATGTGATCGATGTGCGATTGGCCGTCAGCTCGAGCATAGGTGTACGCCACTGGTTGCGAGAACCGGAACTCGGCGACTGTCAGTCCGTGGTCGTCCAATAAGTCTTGCATTAGAAGACTCAGCGGAGAGAAACCCCGAAGACGGTGCCAGCCCGGTGGGCGCAGTTCTGGTGACAGTGGTGGCAGAGCACAGTTAAAATCGCCTACAAGCACCACTGGAGCTGAGGGTCTTAGCGAAGAGAATAATGCATCAAGCTTCCCCGTCAGGATTGTGTACTCTTCAAAATTTACGGCAGATGAATTCCAGTACGGCATGTAGCAGCCAATTATCGTTATAAGAGGACGGCTCAGCTCCACAATCGTAACTCCACAGATACGAGGATTCGCGAATGTATATTAAAAATTAGCTTCGAATCTTCACATTAATTCAAAATCACGCAACATTTTTGTGCGTAGTTTACACCACTGATATCAAGAGCTTGATAAAATATTTGGCGTTAATTACGTCGTTTTATGAAACCCAAATGGCATCAATTGGTCCGGAATCGAGCATTTGCCGTAAATGAAGCTCCGTACTTTCGATGGCGTGAATTACTCCGGTCTCCGGCTTTATGAAACCGAATTGGCATCAAATACGCCAAATCTGGCATAATTGACGGAACGCCGTAAGTAATTCCTTTTATGAAACGAGGCCCAGGATGCTATCCTAGCTAGAATGTGCGCGAGAGATGGGATACCTTTTACAGCTTTCTGTACCTCACCGGACCTACGCGGACTTTTGGCTGCTAAAGGATATAAAAACCTTCCAACCCATCACAACACGATCCGCCGGCGTGTCCTCAAACACTGTGCTCGCCTGAAGTGTGACGTGAAGGCGAAGCTGGCCGAAGAATTGTCAAATGGCAAACGGTTCTCACTTACGATCGACGAGTATACGTCCCTGAAAAACCGTCGCTATATGAGCGTGACTGTCCACTGCGAAGGTAACATGTGGGGTCTCGGTGTCGCGCGTTGTCACGGATCGATGCCAGCAGAGAAATGTCTGGATCTTCTGCAGGGCAAGCTGGCAGAATTTGGCCTTGAACTCAGTAAGCACGTCACCTGCGTCACAACCGACGGAGCTTCGGTGATGGTGAAATTCGGGAAGTCACTGCCATGTGAGCACCAACTCTGCTTCGCACACGGTGTTCACCTCGCCGTTGTCGACGCTCTGTACTCGGGTGACGCCGGGCAGACCTCTGAACAAGCAGATGACGACCGTGGTGGTGGTGGACCTAACCAGGTGAGCTTAGTATACAATTATGCATACATCTGATATAGGCACCTAGCGTGAAAATAGAATAACAGTGACGAAATGGTAGAAAATTGTGCACCAAAGTTCGTATCATTTACTGTGCGATTTCACTTAATAAGAGTCAAAGAACAAACAACATTTCACCCAGAGAACAAGGCTTAAGAGCATCGAGCTCAGTTTCATCCGCATCGCGCAATTACTCTCCTTAAAGCATAAAGAGTCGTAAATCTTCATCTACAAGTAATCCGAGGAGCCAACACAGCAGGATGACCCCTTAATATATGTACATCTTATATAGATTAATAAGGTAAGGATATTGTCGCCTTGCAGGTGAACTCGTCAGATGAATCCGACGGTGATGACGAGGATGAGGACGACAACGTGGAAGAAAACACTACTGGTGCTACTGGTCACCACGAACTACATAGTTCGCTCTCTCCAGTCGTTAAAAGCATTAGAAACATTGTCCGCTGGTTTAGAAAATCGCCCGTACGAAATGAAGTCCTTCAGAAATACGTCAGAGAGGAGCGTGGGCAGGAACTGATGCTAGTGCTAGACTGTAAAACCCGATGGAATAGTTTGTATGACATGCTAGAACGATTTGATAACCTCAAAGCAGCTGTCCACAAAGCACTCATTGACATAGGAGACAAACGTATGAAAATGATCGATGATTATGAATACGCCGCCATACCTGCGCTCATTCGCTGCCTGAGAATCATGAAACTCGGAGCAGAAGCGCTATGCAGGAGAGAAAGTGGACTATTGGAGGCTGAAGCTGCTCTAAAGTTTATGTTAAGCGCGCTTGACAACTACAAGGAGGACTGCGCGATTGCATGTAAACTGTCTGATGCGTTGAAACAGCGCATCCGACAGAGACGGTCACGTGCGGCTAAAGTCCTACAATCGCTCCATAACAAAATGTCGGCAGACAGAGACTGGAAAGATATTTTTCCTAGTGCCTCTCGCAAGGAAGCACAGGACTTAGTTGTCCACATGATGGAAAGATTGGGAGAACAGATGCATGATACCGAAGTAGGTGTAGATACAGAAGTGATGGACGCTGATGATCCTGAATCAGCGCCGTCTCTTCAGTCGATGCTTCAACAAGCTCTAGATGAGGTTAGAGCTCCAGAGCAAGGCACCAGTTCATGCCCGTCTGGGATTAACTTTTCGCAATCTTCTCTGATGATGACGAAGGCCATAAGGAAAGAATTGGAAAATTTACCTATCTCAGGAAGGACAGGCATGGAAGCGCTGTCCTACAACTGGCTGAAGGGCATAGTTCCTACGAGCGTTGAATCGGAACGAGTGTTTTCCACTGTCGGGAATATCGTCACAAAAGTGCGGTCGAGTCTCGGCGACGAAGTCGTTGATGCACTTTGCTTCCTCAAGTGTTACTACCGTAACAAGTGAATGTGACCAGGACATGCTGCTGGTCAGACGACCACAATCCGTAGGCACGTCTACTGTATCCTGACTCGAAATATAAACAAGAAATACAATGATCAATGTCATTCATGCTCTTATATTTGTTCGGGGTGAAGGTGTATGCCTGGTATTGTGTTTATGATGGTAAGGATGCGCCATATACATACGATATTGCAAGAAAATTCTGCTTTGTAGACAGGTTAAAATAAAAACTGCTCAATCCCGGGATCCCGGGATATCCCGGGATTGCATTTCTAAAATCCCGGGATCCCGGGATTGCCAAAAAGTCCCGGGATTATCAGTCCGACCTGAAAACGATACACATTTTCCATCCACTGCGCCGGCGACATATCACCTGCGTAACCTACAACTCGCAGTGAGCAACCAAATTGTGAGAAGAGTCGCGACACGATGATTGTCTCCTCTCACCCGACACGGTGGGTGTCTCTCACCTGGCGGGCTGTCTGCCAACACTGTGAGTTCCTCTCACCTGGCGGACTGTCTGCCGACACGGTGAGAGTCCCATCTCACCTAGCGGGCTGTCGGTGAGAGTCACCCCTCACCTAGCGGGCTGTCATCTGGTCTCACCTGGCGGCTGTCGGTGAGAGTCTCCTATCCTCTCACCTGGCGGGCTGTCGGTGAGAGCTGCCTCTCACCTGGCGGTCTGCCTGCAGACACGGTGAGAGCCGTCTCTCACCTGGCGGGTTGTTTGCAGATGCACGGTGAGAGTCTCCTCTCACATGGTGAGCTGTTGGTGAGAGCCGTCTCTCACCTGGCAGGCTGTCTGCCGACACGGTGAGAGTCTACTCTCACATGCGAGCTGTTGGTGAGAGCCGTCTCTCACCAGGTGAGAGATTCCTCTCACCTGGCGGGCTCTCGTTGGGCGTGTCCTCTCACCTGGCGGACTGTCTGCCGACACGGTGAACGTCTCCTCTCACATGCGAGCTGTTGGTGAGAGCCGTCTCTCACCTAGCGGGCTGTCGGTGAGAGATTCCTCTCACCTGGCGGGCTATCTGACGACACGGTGAGCGTCGCCTCCAGCGGTGTTCCGATGGCGGCGTCCGCGCTGTCCATCAGCACCGCCTGCATGGTGATGGAGCTGCCGACGTCCGAGACTGCCGGCACCAGCGCTACGCAGGCCACCCGCAGCTGGTTGTCCTCGGTGGTGGCGGTGGGCACCGTCTCCAGTCGGGTCACATCACGCAGCACCAGGTCAGCCTGAGCGCTCAGCTCCATACTGGCGGGAGTGGAGGGAGGGAGGTTGGGGGAGCGAGAATGACACATACAGACAGATAGACAGACTCAGGCTGATAAAGACAGACAGACAGTTAGATATATAGACCGATGCTCACCTCTCCTTTCCTCCTCGGTTTTTATAGTTTTACATGCCCTCCTTTCCTTTCTCTCCGTCCATTCGCCCTCCCTCTCTCTCTCTCTCTCTCTCTCTCTCTCTCTCTCTCTCTCTCTCTCTCTCTCTCTCTCTCTCTCTCTCTCTCTCTCTCTCTCTCTCTCTCTCTCTCTCTCTCTCTCTCTCTCTCCTTCTTCCTCTTGTCCCTCTCTCTTCCTCTCCTTTCCGTATTTCTCTCCATCTCCCTCCCTCTCTATCCCCTTGGTCCTCTTCCATTAGTCCCCCAATCATTTTCTCTCGCTACCACCTTTTCCCTCATGTCCCTTCCCTCACCTCCCTCTTCTCTCCCTTTGTCTCCCTTTCCTTCCCTCCGCGCGTCCCGGTTTCTCACCCTCCAAGAGTGCCGGGGGTGATGGTGGCCTTGGCCTCCGCCGACCACACGCCGTGCACGTTCTGGCCGTGCCGCACGGCTGCCGCCCCCTTCACCTCCCACTGAGTTGTGTCGGCAGCACCGTGCAGACATTGTACCTGAGGAAAGCGCGGCGCGATGACGCTGAATACGAATACGAATGCGATCCTAACTTGACGGACATGCGGGATGTCATGTGTTGATAGTGATGCAACAATTGTGCTTCTTTCAACCAGAAGCTTGCAATTTAGATAGTTCATGCGCGGTTTCTCGCTTATTATTATTATTATTATACTAATAACTAATTAGTAGGATCATTTAGGCGATCTAGGCTTATCATTCATTTGGCCGGGCTAGAGCCTAGATTAGGATATATTCTTGATAAGATAAGCCCTGCGCTGGATGGATTATTAGCGTGAAACCTTAAAGTGGGATCTTCAACTATCACTGCGTGTTGGTGAGTGTCGAATGCCCCACCCCAGCGGATGTTACCTTCAGTGTGCCGTAGAAGCCCTCCGGTAGAGTGGTCACCAGATCAACAACCTTCGGAATTCCTCTGGGGGAAAATAAAATCCATTTATGCCTGGTCACTCTATTCCCTCGATAGGCACATGTCAGTCAACAGCAAAGCGACGGCGCCGAGGAAAAAATAACTATACAGACTTGATATATCAGAGAGACACTTATCATGTGCCACATCTTCCGCCTTTACGTGCTTTGTTTGAAAGTGACGCAAAAAGGTGAATGCTGATGTGTATGCCGATCGCAGCCCTTACGAAGACTTCGCCTACTGCTGCCTATAGACGGCGCTACTTGGATGGATCTTACCTGTAGACACCGCTACTTGGATCTTACCTGTAGACACCGTTACTTGGTGCTTACCTGTAGACGGTGCTGCCGTTGCGGGGTGTGAACGTTGAACTCAGAGCTCCATCGGTGGCCAGGTACTGTCAACACACGCATACGGCGACCGTCAGATTGCATTCCGTGTGATAAGGACGGGCCTAGCCTTGAGCGGGCCTACGCTCCTTGTAAGTGGTCGTCTAATGCGTGGGCTCAGTAAAAAAGTCATGTATTGGCGTCCTGAGCAGATGAATGGCTGCAAGATAATGCAAAATGCTGTTATAAAAATGGCAGGTCAGTGAAAGGAAACATGGACCAAACATGCACTCTTCCATGATGTCTGGTTTAGTTTACTTTGGATGTCACATGCTTGGGAGAGGGCTCCGCTGAGAGACGCAGCCACCACTGGGAAAACTACGTGCACGCTATCCAAACGGCTGGCAGTCCCTCGACCTCCCCTGTATCGACGGTCGCCCGCAGCCTTACCTGGGTGTCCGAGCCGGACAGGGTGATGGTGCCGGTGGTGGCGGCGATGGTGCCCGCCGAGTCCTTCATGCCCGACACGGTCAGGTCGAAGGCGCCGTCGGCGGGCACGACGCCGTCGGCGCCGATGATGCCCTGCACGGCCACCGCCAGCACGATGTGGTTGTCGCCCTCCATCACGTTGGTCGTGTCGACCGTGTTCAGAATGCCTACACTGGCGGCCGGACCTGCAGATGATGTCGGGTCGGTCCGTGTCATGGGTCGGGTAGGTGCCTGTGGTGGCGGTATGGGCTGCCCGCAAGGATATAAACGAGTTTTCGAGCACCGACGCTTCTTACAACGTTCTTCGTGCACCGACGCTTCCCACCACCCCTTGTCATGAAGCTAGCGATGGTATCCCTCCTCACGCTACCCCGTTCCCGTCCTCACGTGCCGTCACCCCTCCTCAGGTACCGACGCTACATTTCACCTTCCTCATGAATAGACGCTGCTTTTTCGTCACGTACTTACCAACGTTACCCCATTGCCACCTCACGTATCGATTCGACGCTACCCCACACGCATCGACGTCACGCCGTCTTGGCGTACCGATTCTGGCCCTCCCTACGTATCAACGACACCCCCCCCCCTTGGTATCACACTGGTTGTCCTCTCCTCACGTACCGACGTTGCTGACGGGGCCCAGTGTGATGGTGACGCTGCTGCCCAGCACTTCGTCCGAGTCCACGGAGAAGGCCGGATAGGTTTCAGGCACGGCGGCCGGGTCGGTCTCCCTCAGCTGGTCCAGGTTCACCAGCCGGTTGGAGGTGCTCAGGCAGCCGAAGTTGCGCCCCACGCGGCTCAGGTAGATACGATCCACGCGGAAGGCGGCCGGGTTCGAGGAGGTGGCTGTGATGCTCAGCATGGGACTGTGCGCCCCCGGAGGCACGTACACGATCACGTTCACCATGTGGACCTGACGGAGGAAGGGGCGGAGGGACGTAGCGAGGACGATGTCATTCGGGGCTACGCAGAAAGCTTACATATGCCAAATGTATGTTGTTGGCTAGGTTCCCTTCGAAGCCAATGAAGCACCCTTTTTTACGCGTGGACTACAAGAAAGAATGGTGTCGCGTCATTAAGGAATAAATATAACAACGCTTTTACACTCATTTTTCCTAGGGTGTATGAGTTAACGACTTTCCATGTTTTAGAAATATCATGATTCCACCATCAAAATAAAGTCGATTCTCTTCCCCCAATCACCCCCTCATCCGCCGGCCGCCATGACTGACCTTGCCGTAGGTCAGGGTGCCCGGGCTGCTGATGCTGACGGTCGGGTCGCCGGCAGTGCTTGTGTAGGCGGTGAGCGCGGCAGCCAGCGTCATGTCGCTCACCAGACCGGCGTACAGTGTGCTGTCGTCAAACACCAGGCCGGCGCCCGGGTTGAACGCCGTCTCTGTCGCCATGGGGCGTCATGGAGGTCACCGATACTGGACCAGGAGAAATACGAATTTATAATCGAACACTGCTTCAAAAATAGCCCCGAGAGATTATCAGCGGCTAACGACCAATAGACGCCGTCAATAGGCCTACACGTGATTGCATTATATTATTGTGTAGGCACGCAATAAGACGTGGTTAGCTCCTCATTGATAAGCATAAATGTGAATACACATTCTCAAAAACTTTATTGTCGACCCCACGCGGGGGTGAGCATATTGTTGGATTACCTGACAGTGTCTGTCCAGCGACGACCTCTCCGACAGCTGAAACAGGAGCCGTCAGTTCGTCACTATTGTGGATCGATGCCCGATACAAGTCTTCAGCGGAAGATCTTCACCAATAAATATATATATCAAAAATGTATACACTTCACTTCTAGACGCAAAGACCATAGCATTGCTGCCCCTGGCGTAGAGCGACCAAAGGGAATGCCATCCAAAAGAGGTCTCAGGTCACTGACCTCTGAGCACTACGGAGCGGTGGAGGGCCTCCTGCGAGTTGCGGCGGGTGGCGCACGTCAGCGGCAGGGTGGTGGCCACCACATCGTTGTTGGTTCGCGTGGTGTTCCTGTAGTAAGGGCCGAGGGATTGCTCAGACAACGCGATCACACACAGCCTATGCGTGGTGGCAACTTTAATATTGGTATGATGTTTTGCGATGGATGAAAAGGGTCCAATATTAACCCGCGCACCGACGGGGGGGGGGGGCGGATATCCGCCCCCCTGAGGTTTTTCGCGAATAGCGGGAAAACCGCGACGCGTAGCGCCGCGAAATTTGGTATGACTATAACCTCATCAATTTTACACATGGTGTGCAAGTTTGAACCTCCTACCTTTTAAGGTCAGGTCACCAGGTCACTTTGAATGACCCAACCTCAAGTCACTTTTTTGCAACTTTGTCACCGTGCAAGAGCTACAGTAGATGTCGGAGGCCTTTGAAAGTCGCAGGATATTATTAGGTTATTAGTAGCTACAATTTGTATATCTCGGAATTTTGATATCGGTGACCTAAGGTCAGGTCAATTTCGCGACCTCCCCATTATAAGTCAATGGGGGAAAAATCAACTCCCTGTTTTTACCACTAAAACGGGTCGGAATGGCCCCATATACCATACATGACTTCATATATGATCAACCTTCACTACCTTGAGGTCTGTTTTGCTGTTGGGCAGCTGTGAGGTCATGTGACGTCATCAAAGGTCACCAAAGGTTTTTGGCCAATAACTCCGTACAGGAACAAGATACAGACGCGTGGATGGTCTCATTGTGTTCAGCTCGTCAAGACGCATCGAATGATATACATGATGACCTCGAGGTCACGTGACCTGAGGTCAACCTTTGACCTTGACCTTTCGAGGTCAACATATATATCATTCGATGCGGATTGACGAGAGGATCACGATGATGCCCTTAGTTTGTTCCTATCTTGACTAATTCGAAAGTTATTCGAGAAAAACTCTCTCCATATCTAGCGCCGCCATTTTGACTTTTTCGACCCCTGTGACGTCATCTTTGACCTGACCTGAAAATGATCTTAGTAAAAATTGTAGATCTTGGCCGTGCGTATCCGATGCCGTTTACCGCTTGTCGCTATCTTGCTTCGTTCTCGAGATCTCAGGGGGGGCGGTTATCCGCCCCCCCCCCCCGTCGGTGCGAAGTTGGCGCAGACCCCCGTCGGTGCGCGGGTTAATGTGAATGATGTGATGATATTTAATGAAAAAAGACTTGGTCGGATTTGTTCCAGTTTCGTGCACTTGCCAAAGTACCTTTCGTGAAAACGGCTACTCTGACACTAACGACCTTGAGAAGTTGAGACTATAGCCACTACTCCTCACACTTACAACAGTGAGAAGGTGAGCCTATAGCTACTACTTCCACACTTACGACAGTGAGAAGGTGAGCGGGAGGTCTCCGGTGAGTTTGCTGCGCGCGCAGGGCAGGTCACGGCCCACGTATACCACGTGCACCGAGCACATGCGCACCTCGTACGAGAGGCGCAGGTCGTTGACGAACTCCACCTGGAAGTCGGCGTCGCCGGTGGAGGCCAGGTCCTCCACTGTGGCACATGAAAAGGTCAGCGTTCGCTGAACTAAAGGTGCGGGCACATGCAAAGAAAGCACCATCGTTTATAGACGGTTCAGATATCTATGACGTCTTTCATTGCTGTTTGCATGGTCTCAACCAGTGGCGGATCCAGGGGGCAAAATGGGCATTTGCCCCCCCCCCCCCCCAAACGGCATAATTCTAACATTACGCCTATGGACGATGCATGGAAAGAATCGATAAATTGTTATGGTTTGCCCCCCCCCCCCAACCTCTGAGCTGGATCCGCCTCTGGTCTCAACAAGCGGATAGCTATCAAACATGAAACTATGGAAGTAGCTCGCCTTAGCGCTTTACGAGTACATGCAGTTCCTCCTCCTGATCTCTTCCTATCCCATTTATGTCCCGTTCCTATTCCGTGTCCGTCCCAGTCCCATCCCGTTACCGTTCGTTGACCTGGGTACTCCACAGTGAGCTCGATGCCGAACTGGCTGCCGATGTAGGCGGCAGTGCCACCGGCCGCCGCCACTGTCACCGTCGGCTGGGTGCCCGTCGGCTCCTGAAAAAGGTGCCGGCGTGTTACTGGCTATGAATACAGGGTGTTGCCGAGATTTGGTGCATGCTTGCAGCTTTCGATCGTTCTAAGTGTTAAAAACATTCCTGCAAACTTTGAAAGCTTTTAAAAACATTCCTGCAATCTTTGAAAGCGTTTTTAAACAGGAAAACGCCATATTTAATGCATGCATGGGTTGCCGCCACAGAGGTTCAAGGATTTTGCGCTCTAGTCTATATTTGCTTCACCTCCGCATATCAGATCCATCTCACATTCAGTGAGGACTTCGAAGGCGGTTTCACGTTGCCGACTCACCCCCGTGGCGTTGACGCTGTCCAGGGTGAAGGAGGTGCCTCCGAGGGTGTAGGTGCCGGCCCCGCTAACGTCTGCCCTCACAGCCACACGGAACGTCACCTCGTAACCCTTGGGGTTCGTGGTCTGCAGCGAGAAACGTCAGGTGAAGTTGGGACTATCCTTGAATGGGGATAAGGGTACATACCCTAGTTTTGGAAAAAGTGATCTTTGCCTTCAGGCTTCATCACAATGCCTCAGAAACATCATGAGCTTGACGCCCTGTTCAGCGACTTGAACTCACCGAAATTTAGCTAGGTCACACCACCGTGCTTTGTTTACAGAAAAAAAAATAAAACTAACGACCAGCCGCCTGGTTTCTTTGGAACACATCCCCCGCCCTCACCAGTTCGGTGCCTCTCAGTCCGGTGATGGTGAGTACAGCCGAGGTGTCTCCGTTCTCAGGCGTGAAGGCGATCGTGGCCGATTCGATGTGCAGGATGTTGGTACCCAGGGCGAGAACCTCGACGTCGCAGGCGCGCAGACCTGGTGATCAGGAGCACGGTCAAAACAGATCGCCCCGCTAGTTCAGTTTTGTTGCACAGAAAAGAAAACATTTTAAAACTTCCCTAAAATATTTGTTAAGAGTGATGACTGATGAAGGACTTGTTGGTTGAGCAAAAATAGGTTGCAATATGCCTCCCTTTCATACTTATCTCCCACTGCTTCTCCTCGTGGACACTACACTCCTCGTCTCTCACTCCTTACACTCCCCGTCTCTAACTCATTGCACCCCGTTCCCTACTCCTCACCCTCCCCTTCGTCACTGACCAGCAGCAGCGGAGGTGTCCAGGGTGAGCGTCTCGCTGGCGATGTACGAGTCCCCCGTGCTGACGGTGGCCACCACGTTGTATTCCACCACGCTCCGGAGCGGGACGTCCAGGCCGGTGCTGACCACGGTGCTCCGGTCCTGGGGGTGAGGACATAGGGTCACGCGGAGCGAACGCTGGGCGCTGCGATTGAGGGGCAGTGTACTGCTAGGCAATGTAGGTGGACCGTGGATGTGAGACATAAGCGTTTAGGAAGGCCTTTAAAGTTAGATATGCATTTGTCAAAAGGCATTCCTGAACGCTTATCAACAATTGTCAATCTATATACATATACTTACCTATAACATGTGAGGCATGTTAGTAGGGTACGATTGGCGCTCGGCCCGCACAGTAAGTTAGAAACAATCAAATATATTTAATTTTTTATGGTGTGACAACTTACATTCTCTCGGCATACAGCTCGCGGCATCCAACTTGTGACATGAGTAGCTCTCGACACCCAGCTCACGACAACTGACTCTGACACCCAACTCTTGGCACGTCCAACTCACGATAAGCGTCATGGATCCGGCGGCGGTGGGCGCGGTGCCGGCCAGCACTGTGACCGGCATGTTCACCGAAGCGCCCGCGTCCACGAACGCGCCTGTGAGACGATCCTTGACGCGGACGAACACGACTAGGAGGCCGCTGGAGCCGACCAGGGCATTCTTTGTGGCGTACACCGGAATCTTGATGGTCATCGCGCGGCCCGCATCGGCGCTGGATGCGGCGCCTGGGGGTCAAAGGGACGGGAGTTGAGGTTCAAAGGAGACGGGCTCTGAGGGTCTGGCGGTCAAACGGGATCTAATGGTCATGAAGGCGGGACCTGAGGATCACGGTTGAACGGGATTTGAAGGTCACGGAGCACGGGATCTGGCGATCACCAGAAGTATTCGTGATGGTTACCATGGGTCATTCGAGGACTGGGAGGGGATCGAAGGTTACGTGCGTTTCACATGATGACCCATGGGCGTGTTTTCCAGTCCAAACCTGTGGAGTGTGATATTACCGGTGATAGGATGTCAAGTGTCACCCCAACCATGGAGAGATAAGTTCCGCAGATTACACGCTTGGCCTATGCTGCAGATTGCAATGAGCCAACTGATCCCCGTTCATCATGTCTACTCGAGGTCTTGGTCCGTCTGGCCTTATACGTCAGTGGATCTCAGCCCCTGCAGTTCCTAGTCCACTCACTGTCGCCCGTCTGCAGGAAGTCGAACTCGAAGCTGGAGAGCCGGCGGGCGCCGCCGCTCCTGCTCATCACCTGGTTGGTGCGGTACTCGTCACCGTTGAAGGCTCCACTGGGTTCGGCAAAATCCGCGCCCAGTTCCACCCACGAGCCGCCGATGCTGAGGGCGTCCTGTAAGGGATAATATGATAGAGGTCGCTCAGTACTCGGCTTCACGAGAACGGGTGAAACGTCTTTAACGGTGAACTCAAAAGACACGAGGAGCTGTGTGTATCTAGGTTTCAGTCTGCTGATAGCTCGCAATGCTTCGTTTCTCGAATTAAGCATTTTTACGTTCTTTAGTCGTCTTGTCCATAGGTGGAGAACTGCTGGACTGTGGGTGCTCGAGCGCTCCCAATTCCGCGCCGTCTTGGCTTTGTAGTCGCGGCAGACGGCGCGGGTCAAGGTCACCGCTATGGCGGTGGCTGATTGGTTGCGTCCGAGCACCCATAATTCGGCACAATTATTTACCTATGGTCTTGTCTGGAGGCTTTTCACCAAGATGTCATTAAGTTCATAGCTCTCATTCCTCACCTCGTCCGCGACTCCTGCGATGTGAGCCTCCACCTGGACGGTGCCCATGGCGGCTACTACCGGCAGCGACACCTCTGCCCACCCGCCAGAGTACTGGTTCACCGAGACGGCGGCCGTCACCGCTGTCAGGGTGCCCATGCCGGTTACCTGTAGACACGGACGGGATGGTGACCAACACGAGTCCAGATCGTCCACCAAGAGCGCCTGACGTTTCCGCTCAATGAGATCAATGGTCACATCAATGTCGTAGCTTAAATAGAAATAATGCATATGAAAAACAAAACTTATTGGGACAGATGGCTAGCGTAAGTCTCAGTGCGGTACAACTACGACAAAGTAGTTCCACGCAATCCTAGTCTTCTAACGCTCTCACGAAGTCCCAGCGATACCACCGGCGCCACGTACAATGTCGGTGGCCTGGGAGTTGGGCGAGAAGGCGTCATTCGAGATCAGGATGTAGTTGGAGCCACTGTATTCGGCGCCGATGGTGACGTACTCCTTCTCCGTCTCCGTCGGATCGGGCACCACGTCTGGGTTGTGGATCACCATGGCGCTGAGGCTGATCTTGATGTTGCTGGCATCGGCCACGCCGCTGCCGGCCGTGTCCGTGTTGCTGAGGGAGCCCAGCTGGATCACCGCCCTGTCCGTCTGCGGGAGAGGGAACATGCATCAGTTAGATCACAAAGCCTTCAGGGCTACAGCGGCTGGTCGAAAACAGGGGCTGCCAACAGAGAGCAGCAGGGAGCCCAGCTGGATCCCTCTCCCGTCTGCGGGAGAGGGAACATGCATCAGTTAGATCACAAAGCCTTCAGGGCTACAGAGGCTGGTCGAAAACAGGGGCTGCCAACAGAGAGCAGTCGGTTGACACAGTCTCGAGGAGAGCAGGGCTTAGCTGGATCGCACGGTCTGCAGGGAGAACAGAGCAGAAGTCACACGGGTTTCACTGGAGGGCCGTGATCAAGTTCCGATCACTCGTTTTTAGAGCCAGCTATCGTTCCGATCTAGAAGTGACGGATGAACACAAACACAACAACTCACAACATCACTGTTGAAGCTGTTCTTGAAGGTCTCTCCGCTGACGCCCGTGAAGGCATTGGCGGTGCTGGCGGCGGCGATAGAGCTGGTGACGCCGGAGCCGAAGGACGTCACGGACATGTCGGTAATTTTGAACACGGAACGACCTGCGAAAGTGGAAAGGGGCTTGATCACTTGGATTGAACCGTGAAATCGGCATAGTGTTTGTCCCAATCAGAAACGCAGAGTCAATAAAATTGAACTTGAACTTTCAGCGAGCGTGCAAGACAATGCATGACCTACTACCACAGATCTTATGCTACCTCAGCATCATCGTACCATGCCGCCGCAGCATGGAGGTGCCACCTACCGGAGTCGAGGTTGGCGACAAACGCCTCGACGATCATGTCCATGTCGGTGATGGTCGGTAGCTGGATGGTGAACTCCCAGGAGAGCACGGCGCCGATCTTGGGCGAGGTCACACCCACCCCCATGGTGCGCACCAGGCTCATGGCCGTGTCCTCCGGGTTCGCTCCAGCCGCCTGGAGCCGGGCAGAGCGCAGAGGTCACGAGCGAAGGATAGAGAGATGCCACGGGACTACAAAGGCGACATGTTCTGAGGGCAGAGGTCATTGGTGGAGGAAATAAGACATGATGGAACGAAAGCAGAGCAGATAACAGAAAACCAAAGCCTTGAACAAAGCCAATGACAATAAACAAAAAAAAATCAAAAGAACAGAGGTCGTGGTCCTTAGCGCATGGCTTCGCTCATACCTCTGGCAAAGACACGCATTGCTGAAAAATGGAAATACTTGTTTGGCCTCTTTGCCTACGTAGTATGTAGGTACTTAGCCTGTCACACTAACATCCACCTGTCACCGGCCTATTGAACCCGAAGGAGACCGGTCCGATGTCGCCACTCACGTCTCGTTTGTGTCGGTCGAGTTCCTCGAGGGCGTTCTCGGGCGGCAGTAGCAGCGCGTCGGATGGAGCCTGCTCCAGGCTGGCGGCCTCCTCCATGGCTCGGCGCAGCTCGGCGTCCAGGTCAGAGGCGCAGTACAGGGTCAGGTTCATGGCGTCTCGGCGCGGTCGGACGTCGGCGTCCACCGGAGGTGTAGCTGCCGTCAGCCGGACGGCCGGGGAGGTCAGGGTCGAGTGGTGCAAAGGTGGGACCACACTCAGAAGCGTTGTTTTTGTGTACCGACGACAGTGCCTATGCACTTGATGATGCCTTAAAAGAAGCTCGTCCCTTCTTCATTATAAGGTTGTTCCCAAAAACGTTCCATGTCGTCTGACCCGAACCCCATTTATCATCAGACCCACCATCCGTACCCTACCCAACACCTCACCATATGCCTAACCCAACTGTACCCCAGCCAACACCCCGCCGTATGAGCTGACCCAACCGTACTCATAGTCCTCACCGTGCGCCTCGATGTGCAGCCGGTATCGGCGCGAGCAGTCGAGTTTGGTGCGGTCGGTGATGGTCACCACGCCCGTCTCGGGGTCCAGGTGGACGGCGTCCGTGCCCAGCTCAGAGCTGATGAGCCGGTACTCGACCACCGAGCACGGACAGCGGGCCGGCGGTCCCGACACGCCCAGCGGGCAGGTCAGCCCCAGGTCCTCGTCATTCACCTGCAGGGAGTAGGACAGGCCTGCCGCGGAGCGCGGCGCGAGGCGGCACGAGTCAGTGTGCGCAGAGATAGCGGGGTATTATGGAGGCAGTGTTTGGCAGCTTCGTGGGTATTTTTCATTTTAGGCATCTTAGTAGAGTGTGGACATAAGCGCCAAATTATGACGTAAAAGAGATGACATAGATATTAATGTTGCTGATTAGCATGCAATGGTGTGTTGTTTTCAGGTCGATGATACTTATATTGCAATGATCTATTGCTTTTCTGCAGTCCGTTATGTTATACAGAGCAAATTACGAGTGATTCTTTCAAAGCTGAACATCTACGTGGATGACCCGCTACGTGTAATATTTGAGGTCGGGTACTTTGCATTGTCCTGTTTTCCATGTGGTTCGCAGGTAACCATAAAGCTAATGTCACCCTTGGGTGGTCAGTGCCCAGTAATAAACTCCGCCAGCCACACAATGCGAGTCCGCTTATGCCCATTTGCCACTGCCTTACGACCGGGGTTGAAACTGGTGGTATGCCTGTAACTGTGGTAACATTGACCCTTCTGGTGTCCCGTGTCGGCCTCGTGAGCTGGCCTTGCCGGCCCGGGTTGGGTGGGGGGGGGGGGGGTGGGGGGGGCACTTGCTGTCGACAGGGGCTGCCGGACATGCCCGACCACTGCCACTGGGCAGTAGCTGTCGGCCAGGGTCCAGCCGCCACCAGACGGCGACTGTCGGACAGGACCAGGCGGCCGGACAGGGTTCGGCTGCCACCAGACAGCGACTGTCGGACAGGACTAGGCCGGACAGCGCGGCTGTTGGTCGGACAGAGCCCGGCCGGTGCCCCGATCGAAGGCACGGGTCGGCGCCGCAGCAGGTTCGCGGCCCGATGTCGTTACGACGGTGACCCGTCCGCCGTGCACTGGACACGTATCGAGCGGCTATACACCGGGCTAATGTCGGCGATGTATTTTGTATTAGGAACGCCTTTGTTTTCCAACTGGTATTGACCCAAAACGGGCATGGAGTTCAACTTGATTGAGATCAAACAGACGACGAATTTCAGAGTTTGATGTCTGGGGACTTTTGTTAATCCATTTGTAGGCATTGGTAGATGGCCAGGCATGCACCAAAGGGGCAGTTTCATCCCTTTTGCAAATGTAGATTCGTTATCTATTGCCGGCCTCCATGACTCCTTTGCACATATTTGATTTACCAACGGTTCCGAGCATTGACATCAGGAAGTGTATTGCTGATTGGCCCATGACAATTTCACGATCGTAGGGACGCAGCACCATGTCCGGGTTGCCGATGTATGCATGAACAGACCCATGTCTCCGCGGGTGACTGGCTGAGCTGATAACGCTCGCCTGCTGTCTGTGACAGCCCACGCCAGCCCACACCTCATGACTGACAGGCTGGTCTGGATGGGATTACCCTTCCCGGCTGTCTCTGTTACGGCTCACAGCACTGAGAAACACATTTTAGAACTTATACTGATAGTACTCACCTGAGTACCTTCGATGGTTTCCATTTTGCCGCTTTGAGGAATTGGTCTTTCCCGAGAACTGTGCATGGTCTCCACTTCGGTTTCAGGAGTGGATTTGGTCTTGACCGAGATAGTTTAGTACTGGAAGTTGTCTAGCTACCCGTGTAACGCAAACAGTCGGTCTGCGGTGAGATTCGAACCAGCAGTCATTCGGTCAGAAAGGATGGTAAACTTCTCACTTTTTTCCTTATAGTTCTCGCAGCTGACGTGTTTTGACGACAGATGTCAGCACAGAAGGAAACTAAAGGCGTAGGTGGCGTTGTGTTAAGAGTAGAGCAGTTTGAATTGCTGCGATACCATTTTCGCTTAGGAAAATAGCAATTATTGATAAAAATGAAACATGTATTTTTCAGTAGAAGAAATAATTTTTAATGAAAAAGAGCCTTAGTATATGACACGATGTTTATCGATTTTAACAGTTCAAAGCACTTTAAATGGATATCCCTAAGGAGCATCTCTATAATGCCTCAGTGCTTCCGGTCCTTCCTTTCTCGAAAGCACTGCGACGGCTGCCGGCAGCGTGGTTGTTCCTTTGGCGAGTTGGTGTCTGGCGCACAGCGCGAACGTCTCATGGTGAGTTTGTTTTCTGTATGTCTTTGTGTGCACTTAACAGCTTGAAAGTAACCACAGCAAAGGTAATTACCTACTCTGGGAGGTGGCAAAATCTGTGTGCCATTGCCCATTTTTGGGATATAGGTTGCGATTGCCATCTGTTTGCCAGTGTTAGCAAAATCTGCTTAAATACCAATTCGTGTGCTTTGAGGATATGGCTCAGAAATTAAGCGTTTCTGCCGTTTCTCTAATATTTGTCTTACTCTCCCTTTCAGAGCAAGAAGCCGTAGAGACAATGCTCTCAATGTTGGACACCGAAGTGAGGCAACTCATCGGGCACGACGCCAAAATGTCCCTGTTGTGTCCTGCTCCTGGGTCACGCGTGTCGCGCCTTGACAGCCGTGACCTTGAACGACCTTGACCGGCCGGGCCGGGCCGAGCGGCCGAGGGTCAGTATCGTCCGAGCGGCGCTGGTGTCAACACAGCTGAGTGCCGCGAGGTGAGGTGAGGCGTGTTCGCCGAGACGGTCCGGCCACAGTGAAAATTTTGTGAAATAGCGGTGTAATCGATAATATGCGTGGCCAGTACGCGAGTGAGATTGACCCTGTGCGCGACACCGATTCAGAGACGCACATAAGTTAACACCGTCGTGTCGGATCGCTCGTACCGGTGCAGTGATGGGAGACAACGAGCAGCTGGAGCGTCTGATGGCGCTCCATGGCTCAGCAGTCAGCAGGCTGCCATGCTGGAGTAGCTCCTCCCCAGCCAGATGCAGCTACCAGCTGCGCAAACTGTCTAGAGCGGCCAACCGGCTGTCGTCGCCTCCGCCGCTCCTATGGCTAGACTTCGGTCTCGCATGGACTCCCGTCGGTAGTGTTCACATGCCAGCCCATACATTTTACCTGTATTAACTTTGTAATGTCTGTGCCTGTGTAACTATTGTACGTGCCTGTACTTAACAGCGTTTGAATTGTACATCGTTCGCACAGTCTGTGGACCGTGGGGAGCGCCGCTTGACATGCATTTTTGCACTTACCTGCATTCCGTGTTAAAAGTAAAGTAAAGGGACTGAGCTGTCGTGCACCGGGAGATATTATGGTCTCTTGCTAAACGACTCAGTTGAAACTCAGCACGCCGGTCGGTACTGACTGGGGCGGCAAGCGAAAGGGTTTGGGCAGCTTTTGAAACAAAATGTTCGCATCGAATGACTGCATCGCATGTTCTGTTCCAGAGTGAGTTTTTTGACATCTGACACAATAAATATACATGTCTGTTCTTTACCTTGTTTGTGCATGGAGGGAATGGGAAGGATCGAGAACGCGGATGCTGTGCCATAAAAAGCTGGCGCTCTACAGGGAGGGGAGGGGGGGGGGATGGGTCGTGAGCGCGAATGCCGTGCCAGGAAAGCCGGCGCTCTTAAGTTGTAAAGTTCTCGAAGACCATACAGGATCATATTATGAGCGGGAATTGTGTTCGTTTATGATCTCATGACCTGGTAAAGGTTCTCATGGGAGATCATCCCGCAGTATAAGAGTACCTTATCCGGGCAAAGTTCTCGTTCAAGATAGCACACCATTCTCACTCGAGAACGTTACGGGAAAAAAACCTGAGAACTTTACCAAACTGGAGACCAACAACTGTAAACAAAGTTCTCCCCAATTGAGGCTCTCATACAAGACCAGAACGACCCCTGCATGGTCTCCGAGAACCATGGATAGGCTTGAGTGTTTCTCAGTGAGGCTGTGAGCTCATATCCCGGTGCTGATAGCCTGCCAGGTGCACTGACAGAATAAGAAACTCAAGGTGAGAATGCATCGCTCTACTGCCGCTGCATGGACCCAGAAGATGGCGACGCAACGTCCTATATAGGAGGCTGACTTAACTGACTTTGTGCTGAGTTTGTGGACGTCGTAGGATGCTGCGTAGTTATCAGGTGAGTTGTTTTGAAAGACTCCATGTTAGTCTGAATAGTTCAGCCGTTTATCTACTCGTACTTCCATAACAAAGACCTCTACCCACATAACACAGGTCAGGGCTCGAGCACACACTGGATATGCTCCTCTCGACCACTTGGCTCACCTTCAGGCGTGTCGGAGACCTTGTGGAACGCCTCCCTGGTGGCGAATGTCGGCCCGAACTGGTCCACTGTGGACGGTGTGTGGACACATGTGAGCGGTCATGTGGACACTCGCGGCACACGAGGTGGGCGAGCCGACTGCTCTCTGTTACGGTCACTGGCCGACGGAACAAATTAAATCATACGGCAGGGGCGGATCCAGAAAATCTCCAAGGGAGGGGCCATTAGAAACCAGGAGACCCCCCCCATAATCCCACCTGTTGGAGGCCCCATCTTCCCACTTGTTGGGCCCCCCCCCCAAAAAAAACTGCGTCTATTGAGCTTATCTAGCTGTTCAGGCAACATCTCAACATCTGTGCAGGCTTGGAGGCCCTCTGTGCAGGTTAGGAGGCCCTGTAAAAGTGGTCATCTCTGTGAGTATAAGAGACCTCCAAGTTATGAAAAGCTTTACCAATCTTCTAACAAAGAAGTCTTCTCAGCTAGTCTTCTAAGAAATAACTAAGTGGGTAGGTTAAAAAAAAACTCATCGGATTTCGGCCACTTTATTTTCAGGAGGCCCCCTTTTCAGCTTTTTAACTTTTTAACTTTTTATTTTATTTTTGAAAAAAATCGGCCAAGGGGGGGGGCCATGGCCCCCATGGCCCCCCCTTGTATCCGCGCCTGTCATACGGCAGTGTGAGAGCCGCACAGGGTTGTAAAAGGCAGTGGTATTTCAGAGCAGATAGTACACGGTTTGCTGTGGCCCGAAGCGCTGTTTTCCTGACACCAAAGGCAGCAGTGTGAGCTGCAGGGAAAGACCCGATGGGATGCACGTTAAACATGTTTCATCCTGGTAACACTGCCACTTCTGTTCATATACACTTCCTTGGTCAACAGGGACGAGTACACGGGTATCCAATTATGCATTATTCAGAATAACTTTATAATTTCCCTCGGCGACGTACCGTATTCATTCTTATCTGCAGGAGGGAACACGGATGTAGCAGAAGTTCGGGTCTTACCGTATGCATTGCTGGAGTGTCCGTCACAGATATAGTCTTAGTTCGGGCTCATTGCAGGAATCTTGGATCCAGCAGGGGTCACACATTAGGACGGGTCTTATGTATTCGTTGCAGGTGTCTCCGCTCCAGCAGGGGTCACAGATACAGTCCTAGTTCGTAACTTACCGTATTCATTGCAGGAGTCTCCGACCGAGCAGGGGTCACAGATACAGTCCTAGTTCGTAACTTACCGTATCCATTGCAGGTGTCTCCGCTCCAGCAGGGATCACAGACACAGTATGTAGTATGGGTCTTACCGTATTCATCGCAGGAGTCTAGTGCACTTACAATTGTGATGCAGTTGTACGGATTTTACCGTATTCATTGCAGGAGTCTCCGGCCCAGCAGGGGTCACAGACACAGTAGTATGGATCACAGACACAGTAGTAGGTATGGGTCTTACCGTATTCATTGCAGGAGTCTCCAGCCCAGCAGGGGTCACAGACACAGCCGTAGTTCTGGTCACACGAGCCGTGCCGACACACACGCTTCCTGTGAAACAATGAGTGATGGGCACGCACGTCAGTGCAGGTCATGGTGGTTGGGTAGTTTGGAATGGCTGGCACAGTGCCTCTCAATATATCCTGGTCACAGCGCAATATATCCTGGTCACAGCGTACCATATGTGACTGAAGTAAAATGCTTGGGTTGAAGAAGAAAGAACGTTGGAATTCACAGCAAGGTAGTGAATTCCAACGTTCATATCCATAGTAATCATGTAAGCGGATAGAGTTGTTGCACCGTTCTTCCTTTGCTGTATCACTTTCTAGCCTTTATTCCGTTTTCTCCTCACCAGTTATGCAGCACACTTAATCTTCATTTCCCTGCAGCATTCATCACACCCCTAACCCGTCATGTCGATTGATCCCCCTCTCCCACGCACGGTATGAGTAACGCCCAGCGGACCGCCGATCCCCGGCTGAGCGCCCGGCTGTCGCCGAAATGGATACGGCCGGTTAGCTGGAAGATGCCGCAGATTAGCCACCCGGTCGCCGCGGCTGGGAGATGGATGGACCGGCAGCCGATGCAGCTGGGAGCCGCCGGGCAGCGACCAGGGACGTCGCCCGGTCAAATGCAGCGAGCGGACATGGCCGCGGCGACGACAGCGCGGCGGGGGCGGGGGGGGGGGGGTTGATTTGAAGGCACGTTGCTGCACTGCACTGATAGACAGCTGTGGTTACGGGTTTTGACGGTGATGTGATGATGACGGTGGAAGATGTGTATGAACGGCGGAGAAAAAGAACAAAGCTCGATCGAGGACGGGCGCCACGTGCGCTAATTCGATTTACCGAGAGGGCAGTGCAGTAGGCTAACATATCGGTCTACCGTCCATGTGGCCACTTGACTTGTCTCACATACCCCAGATGCATGGATAGGTGTATGTGCTATGCAAAGGTACTTTATGTTGACCAATGACCAAATTTTATAATGTTTATCTATCCAATACTGAGCTGAAGTATTTACCGTTTAAAAAACGTTAAAGCCAACTGCCACGAGCAATGATCAATATTTCAAGGCATCTACCGCTGTTGCGAGACAGCCACGTTCAGAGAGGTGTAAGGGCCCGTGAGTAATTGAATAAAACGTCCTACAAATTAGGTTGTCTTGAATTCACGTCAATTTAGAATGCCAGGACCCTGATCTGTGGCATAGACCAAACGCTGCGGTGATGCATGTGGTGCATATATGGTGCATTATTTCATTGCAAAAGGTGTAAATCCACATATGCCACATCAACACAACTGCTGTTGCTAAATGCACAGTGAGATAAATTACCCAGTGAAAAAGACCCCGCTGATAGTTATTATCCAGTTGTCAAACCTTACCGGCAAATTAGTGTCTAATGCATCGTTTATATGGTGGTGAAGCACCAATAACTACAAGCGCTACGCTCATCTCGGACTAATTACCGATCGGTGCCATGGCACTTATCCCGCATTCTCTCATCACCATTAACCCTGCCCCGTCTTCCCACTCCTGCATCTCACGCCTCACCTCTTTTCCTCTCTCCACTTTCGATCTCTTCGGCTCCTCGCTCCTCTCTCTCTGTCTCTCTCTCTCTCCCTCTCTCTCCTCTCTCTCTCTCTCTCTCTCTCTCCTCTCTCTCTCTCTCTCTCTCTCTCCTCCTCTCTCTCTCTCTCCCTCTCTCTCTTCTGTCTCTGTCTCTGTCTCTGTCTCTGTCTCTGTCTCTGTCCTCTGTCTCTGTCCTCTGTCCTGTCTCTGTCTCTGGCTCTGTCTCTCTGTCTCTCTGTCTCTCTGTCTCTCTGTCTCTCTGTCTCCTCTCTGTCTTCCTGTCTCTCGTCTCTGTCTCTCTGTCTCC